TACCTAGGCTAGTAGTACCATAAAAGTCACCGGGCAGCTGAATTGGCTGTGTCTGCAGGCGATGTTACGCTGAATTAGTGACCGGGGACTCACAGCCTGACGGGACCGGCGGTCCTATGCCAACCCACGTGGTATATGTACCACCCCTGTTTCATTGGCCAGTTCAATTCCGTACATTTGACGTGGCCCCGCTGGATGAACAGCCCCGTATCTTGCGGGCCCCGGGCAAATCGTAGTGCGCTTTTTGACAACCGGCCGGACAATGTAGTGTCATGCTCGACCTGCAACCCCTTGCGCGCGCGCCTGCCAGTTATTCCTTCTTCGTCATCGTGAGTCTTTTTGGAGCCAAGACTCATTGGCAGAATCTGTTCTGGACATGTAGCTTTGCTGACCGGTCTTGGTTCGTTTTGCAGCTCGATAACCAGAGCACCCCGGCCTCTGCAACGGAAGGAACTGCAGAAGCCCTTGAAGCTGAGCCGTCCGCCTCTGCCAAACCCAAACCCCGGAACAAGTCCACGAACTGGCCTTTCAAAAGTGCTGAAGAGAGAAGATTGTACGAAGAGTACTGGCTTGATCTCTGGGGTGCTACGGCCGCCGTCATTCAGCCCAACCGGAAGAACGCGCGAGCTGAAGCGAGCAGTGCGAAAGGCAAAGCTGCGGCTGCGGGAGGCACTGCAGAGGGGTCTGCAGATGTGTCCGGGGCAGAGCGAACGACAAGAGACACCGATGATGCTAGAGGGATCAAGAAAGCGGGCAAGGCAGCGGGGGGCCGTTGGAGGAACTCGAAGGAAGAAGAGGAGGACAGCGGGGACGACGAGGACGGCCCTGGGCTGTTCTCATTCATGCGTTGGCAAAAGAACTTCCAAGAAGAAGGTACGTATGTCTGAAGTTCAATCGGACTCAGGTCGTCCTTCAAAGCAGGTCCTCAATCTCCGTTCTCTAGCTCCAGGGACTCGAAGCAGGATTGCTGAGCTTGACATGCGGATTGATTGCTTCACGTCCTCCTTGTCGAGCTTGACATGCAGGTTAGCTTACTTCGCATCCTCTTTGTCTGCTTGGCCATTGAAGCGTGACTTGCCTTTTGCGAAGTTCCGACGGCTGCATTCCGAGGGCCTTGTGGCTTCTCAACGTGGTTTTGATGTCATCCGGTTGTCCTCTTATCAGGCCTTCGACGAAGAGCGGAAGCGGAAGGAGCGAGCGCTCGACTTCTTGAGAAGGCCGTGAGCGCAACCCAGGATCTCGGCCACACGATCAAGACGGCAACGGCTCAAGGGAACGCGCTGCAAATCATGACGCTCGCAAGTTTGACAGGCCGTTCGCCGCAAGAGATGGCACTTAGCATGTCCGATCTGTCCTCTTTATTTATGGGACAGTTTAATCATCAGGATCCGACGAGAGGTGCTCCCTCTGCTCAACAACCCCAGGGGCCCGCAAATGATACGAATTAGGAGAAATGGACGCTCGGACTTCATCAAATTTCGTCAATAACGTTATTCCTCGATGCATGCCATATAGCTTTGTGAACTTGAAGCAACATCTAAATGCCATTAGACCTTTGATTCGTGAGCCTGAAAGCTTGTTTTGTTGCTTCAAAATTCGGGATCGACAGCATGTTCGCCTTTCTATTCGCGGGTGCAAGAAGATGCATGCCGCATGGCATCATGGCCGGCCGGCCGGGCAAAACCATTCGAGGCCATGTCGAACTTCGGAACCGTGCCACATGAAAGCTCATGGTTCTAGTATTTAGTTTGCAGGCATGGATTATGTAAATCAACGAGATAATCGCTCTCGGTCATGGATGGCCAATGAATATAGCTTTGCACTACGTTTCATTGCAGCCAATCGTATTTGATGACAGGTACTAGTCTACAAATCATGAGCGATTTTGAATGATGTCTTCTTTTATACGCCGTAGATGATGCATGATCGAATCCGGTAGATGGCGGCGCTTTTGGTGACAACGGTTTCCATGTGCATGGCGGCGCTTTTGGCGGCAACAATTCACGAATCACGATGCTATACAATCTATCTTGGATATCTTATTGTAAACAAGAAATTTCATACACTCGGTTGGGTTCCTGATTCATACAACTTCGTTGGTTGCTAAGGCGGCTTCCCAAGCATCCCTTTCTAGTTTCAAACGTGGCAGATCTGCAGCTAGACGGTCTCTATTTGCCTTGAGGGCCTCTGAGAAGTTTATCGGACAGTAGTAGGCTTCTCCTTGATAGTAAACCCGATTAGCGAGGCGCTCAAGCGCTTCTCGGTCACTGCGGCTTTCCCTATACGATTCGCCTTGCTTCTCGCAGATGTTGTGTAATAGACAGCAAGCTAGAGTTACAGTAACAACGTTGTCTCGATTGCGCATAGGAACTTTGTCAAGCAAAATCCGCCATCTTCCCTTCAAACGCCCAAAAGCCCTCTCAATAACAACTCGCATTCGGGACAGCTCCTTGTTAAATACCTCTTGTGTCCTAGACAGTCTCCCTTTATAAGGTGAAAGCATCCACTGCTTCAGGCCGTAGGCAGGATCGCCCAGAATAAAGTAGTTGGCCATATGCTTTGCTGCAAAAGAAACATGGAAGAAACACGTCAGATCTAAGTTTCGTGAACTCAACAATCATATTGCTGTCGACAAAACACACGTACAGTGAGCTACACACTTAGACTCATGAAAAGCCTGAAACGCACTCGCAATTCAGGGACAGTACAGCTCGGAGAGAAGTCGCTACAAGAGGTCGTGAGAAAGGCTGTATAAGAAGACGTGGTCAACATCGACAGGTTTTGAACTTCACAATCTCTTTCTAAGAGAAAACTTTTGTTGCATGGTTGACGGAGGATGGTACTACATCTGGATAGGATCTCGAATCAAACACGAAAGCCTGGATAGCAAAACCAATGGCAAGGCCGCATCACCTTCAGCCCAATGATGAAGATCACTTGAATGCAGGATCGCCGAGTCGTGAGTTCGAGAAGGTGTCCCCATGTCCAAGTCCCAAAATATCATGTGTGCATCACACACAGCCTGCAACGTCATAGCATGCCTCTTCTTCCGGTTGTAGAACCACCTGCAGCGACGCCGGAGTTTATGAGACGCTACAAGAACAGTAGAACTCACAGCCGCCCCCGCAAGAGTGAAACTTTTTAGTTGCCAGCTCTGATTGTTCTTGTCAACACGTAAAGAGAGTGTGATCTGTGCCGCTTTGAGCAGCGTGCTAACCACTGTAATCCAGTCCCCAGTTCTGTGCAAGGTAGCAACTGATTAGCTTCCACGTTTGAACACTGTCTTGAATTACACTATGATTCTGCTTCGAGAAGAGTCTTTGAAGAAAACCTTACCTTTCATCTCCATCACTTGGCTTGGTTATGTAGATGTAGCTTCCGTCCACTGCACCAACTACACCAGGCAACGCTCCCTTAAACCTGAAACCTCTGGCCATCTCTTCGAGTTTCTCTACGCCTGGCCATTGGAGAAAGTCGTCGCCAAACTGTCTGATAATTGCTTTACAGACGGGCAGGACCGACTTTGTGATGTAGGCTGTTGAAAGACTGAATTGCGAAGCGAGGGTAATGAAAGCCTCTCCTCGCGCCAACCTCCAGATAACAGCAAGAACTTTGTATTGAAAAGGGATAGGCTGATTAGGTCCTGGATTGAGTTCAAAAGCCTGGCTGTAGAGTTGTGGTTTGATTCTATCGAGGATAATCTGAAAGGTTGCTTTAGATATTCTGTAATGCCGCTGGAAGCGGTGGTCAGACATGCTGTACATGGTCTTGTACCAAACTGCTGCACTCCAGTGTCCTGTTTCTGGATCCCTCCAGGGACGGCCGCGCTTGCCACCTGTGAAGTTGTAGTTACGCCTTCCGCGGCTTCTCTGTTGTCGTCTTTCAGCTTCCATCAGCATACACAGCTCTAAGGCTGCTTGTTCGCATTCAAATTCTTCCTGTCTCCTTTCACGTTCTAGCATTGTTTGATGGAGCAGAACTTGCAAGTTCTGCGCCTGTACAATGGCAGCGCAAAGCTGGACATTTTGATTCAACAGGGCAAATGAGAGCGTAAGGAAAGCGAGCAGCCACTGCTGGACGCCAGGCGGTTGCGCCATGCTGCAATACTCAATCTGATGTATGGAAATGCTGGCCGAGACTCTCTGCGTTGAAGCCCCTGGCCCTGGGCTCTGCGGCTCTGCCAAGTAGGGATCAGATCTGAGATCTGAGATCTGCGTGGCCGGCCGGGCGCCGCGCTGCGTGGCCGGGCTCCAGGTTCAGGCTTTCTAGGGTTTGGCCCGGCCCGGCCGCGAACATCGCCGCGCCCCTCGATTGCCGAGCTCCATGTAACTTATAGCCTATTTTCGGTAAGTTCGGTACGCTCGGCAAGTCCGGTAGACTCCCGGTAAAGTTGCCCCAGGCGGTACTTACCGGACTTACCGAAACCTTCATGTAACTTCTCTCATTGCACCAACGATTGAGGCAAGCAAAGCTGGTGCCAGCAGAAGGCCTGTAGCCTTAGGAGGCGCTCAAGAGAGAAGTCACTCAGGTAAATTTCTTGTCTCATTGGAATAACACAACACGTTTGGAGGGGTTGCAAGCCGTCTGATTAGACGAAGTGCTGGCTCGCTAATCTAGAAGGTTGTGTTCTAAAATCCGATCTGTGAAGGAAACGCTGCGAAGCTTGTTGGCAACCCGCCGCTGTGCAAAATCAGTCCACACTTGGTCATATCGCCTCTCAAAATGTGGAGGCTTCTTGTGAAACACTCGGCTGAGGCTGTGACAAGAGTCGCCACCTCGCCGGCGCAGCTTCCGTGCAACCGCACCTTGTCGTCTCTGGTCCCCATCGTCCAGGACCGCATTGTGACAGCAATAAGCGCAGCATCCCCGTACCACTCTGATGGGGTGAGTTTGCAAATTGTGTTTACAATGAAGCAAAGCATATGACCGTTCGTCATACCAAAAGAATCATGGCTTGCGCCTAAAGCCTCTGTAATCTGGATCAGAAGGTGTTGTTGTCCTTGTATTAATGTGAGCCAAGATCAATACCTTGATATTCATCAGGTTGTGCAGGATGTATGACATATGCCCTACTGGATTGACTGGTCAGCTTCCATGATCAAAGCATTTTCCAGTCGGATCCATCTATGAGGGAAAAAGAGCTTGTGCACCTTTGGTTCTGTCGGGCATCGTGCTGCACAAATTTGCCGCCTGGTTACTGCCTTTTCACCAACTTGATCATGGCAGGAAAGAGAGGCTCTTCAGAACTTGCTTGAGCACCTTGGCCAGCGATCTCATTCAAGGAGGCTCGTTTCAAAGGAAGCATTCCATGTGCAGGATTGTTCCTGCAGTGGTTCGGGAAGCAACGGCTTTTCGGCGTCCTTCAAGAAGTACTCAACGTTGAGCAACTTGGTGGGTCATCAGTGCTTCCGGGCATCTTGATGGAGCAACAAGAGAATCACTGGCATCTTTTCTTCCAAAGGCACCAAATGATCTGTACGAATTTGTGTAGGCAATTGAAGAACGATCCGTGTGTGCATCTTGCTATGCACATCACTGTGCTTTTGCCCACTTTCTTAGGCTGGTTTGACCGATTGTTTGTCTGGCGCTTTTGCAGCACAAAGATACTCCTGACAATAACCTGAAAACATCGTTTGACTTCACGCCTGCCAACTACAAGAAGGTAAGTATCCAATGCTCCTCTAGTGCAATCCGCTTTCATATTCAGGACCTTCAGCAGGTTGACCTGACTATCTGTTTTCAGGATCACTGCTGTTGACTTGCTAGGCGCTGTCAATAATCGCTGTGAGTACGACCCTATCCAGCTGTACAATCTTCATCTTACTTTCATCTATTACCTGCAGATTGAAGAGATCTTGTCCCACTACCCTGCCAACTACAAGCAGAGTGCCGTGATCCCCCTTCTAGATCTTGCACAGCAACAGAACGAAGGATGGCTGCCAGTCGCTGCAATGAACAAGGTATGCGACTGAAGAAGTCTCTATTTGTGAGTGCACTCACTAAGGCAACTATCTTGCCAGCTGGTGGAGGACACAGATTTTTCTTGTGCTTCTTCAACTCCAAATGAAAACGGATGAAAAATAGAAAGAACTTCTCGTTTCAATGTTATCCAAGCGAAACTCAGCAGCCTGCTAATCCACAGCAGAACAAACGGCCGTCGAAAGAACCTTTCGTACAGAATGTTCTTTCCATCATTAGAGTACCAGAGAGCAAATTCGTAGTCGAAACTCCTTCTCACCAATGACTTGACTGGCTTGTGCAGATTGCTAAGATCCTGGGGATGCCGTACATTCGGGTGTATGAAGTGGCTACATTCTACACCATGTTCAACCGCGGCAAGGTGACGCTTGCTTTCCAGCAGACAGTTCTTTCCGCCAACCGTTTGCTTTCGCACTTATCGATGCAGTGTTATTTCCGTTCTGCTCCAGTTTGCATCACCTGCCTGCAAGCACCTTCATGGACTTTCATGAGTTCGTAAACAACAACGACAAAAGCAGGAAGGACGTTTGTGAAACAGAAGTGTTGACATCCCTGCAGATTGGAAGGTACCATCTGCTCGTTTGCGGGACAACCCCGTGCATGCTGCGGGGATCTCGGGAGATTGAAGCCGCCCTGATTGAGCACCTAGGGATTGCTCGGGGAGGTAAGGGGTCTTCCTATCTCATCTCCAGTATCAGACTTATTTCTATCGTGAGGGGCAAGGTTTGGAGCTGGCGCCACAATGGCACTAGCATCGAAAAAGGGATTGACTAGACCGTTCGCTTGCTTCTCTGCGCTTCCGTTCGATCAACATTCGATGTCACTCTGTCAGGGAACACAATTGTCTCAAATCGACTGCTTTTATTGCGACGCTCCCCTAACAATTCTTCTGTCACTTTTGCAGAGACTTCGAAGGACGGCCTCTTCACCATCGGAGAGATGGAGTGCATGGGCAGCTGTGTCAACGCACCAATGATTGCTGTTGCAGACTACTCCGCTGGATCGGAGGGCTACTCGTACCACTACTATGTGAGCTGCCTTACATCTTGTGATCAATCAATGACAGAGACACCTTCCGAAGCTACAGAAGTGGCCACGAAATAGTGAACCACACGTCCAGGCAATAGATCAAGTTTCTTCTGCGGAGTTCTGATAAGCCGTTCCAGGTTGATAGGCAATCTGCCACAGCGGTCTGGAAGCCACCTTGGTCCTCTTGAGCGGCATAGGTGATTGCGGGTGTCTTGGTGCTGTCAAACATATGGCAATTGACTTCAGTCCTGTGATTGGCGCCAACCAGTCCGATGATACACGACACCAGTCCGGTGAGCTTAAATCAGAGACTAGATCTCAGCCATGTTAACCGACTCCGAAGCTGTGGGCTCACGGTATCTGCAAGCAGCCGGGGTTCCGGACTAAGCTCTTAATGACAAGTGACACTTAATCCGAGATCTGTGTCGCTTGTACAGGAGGACCTCACCCCTGACTCGGTGGTCGCCATTGTGGAAGCTCTGCGGAAGGGCGAGAAGCCGAAGGTCAGCCTGGTTGCAGAATCGCGTCTCGTCCTGCTGGTCTAACTTGGCGAACCTCGCTTGTGATGATTCTCTCCAGCTACAGCGCTCAGGGCGAGGCCCATGCCCAGCTCCGAGCAGCCCGACTCATTGTTGCCCGTTTATCGATCTGTGGACCTACAATTCTTTGTTTCACGTGCACAGCTTATTGAGTAACTTTTTTTTTATGCAGGCTGGCCCTCAAACGACAGATAGAATACGGTCTGCACCAGAGGGAGGCCCAAAGACGCTTCTCTCTGAGCCCAAGCCGCCGAAGTTCAGGGATCTTTCTCAGGTATAGTACTGTTGTTCTCGTTTCTATATTCAACGTGAGCGCCAGGCACAAGCAGGCCGTTGAAGTCCAAACGAAGCTCGACGTTTCTCGAAAGCGGGCTCCTGGTCAATCCAGATTGCTGAGCGCTAGTCCTCGCAGAGTGGACTCCACTGAGTCGTGACCGACAATGAAACAAAAGATGTACCGCAGAAGCGATGGTCGCCGCTCACCCTCTTCAAGTCCTTGCTTGTCGTTCAGAATGCACTGCAGAACCTGATGATGGCGGCACGCGACCTAGGTGCAGTCAATTGCGTGACCGGCTAATCTACATATTCGAGCTGCACATGCATGAGCGCCTCTATATAAACAAGAATCTTTGGTGAGATTGGGATGGTGAGATCTACTATATCTTCAAATTCTCGCATGCACCCCGGGGCTTTGATATGCAGTATATACAGCACGAACGATAATGTTATAGATTTGCGTATGCATCCTCGCATGGAGCTCGAATCACTGTCATCAGTCCCTTGATTACCACGTCGGCTGCTCTAGGGGCCCTAGGTGGGCCGTCATGCATGTAAAATGCACTTGCGGTATGGATCGACATGCAAAGAAATGAAAACACAGACCACCATGGGACTATAGAATGATCTATTCTATCTAGGCATCAAGTGGCATGTTTTCAGTTTTACATGAAGTTCCACGAGCTCCGGCTAGCCAGTAACAACGTAAAACGAAACATGCAGTGTTGGCCAAATTCGAGCAACTGTATACATTCCCGATCGATCAACAATCGATATCTTCATTCTTAGTTTGAACAGGCTCGAAGCCAAATCCATGCGTGTGGAACTATAGCATCTCGACTCTAATTCAAAAGCATCATGACGGCACGTTCTAGCATGCCAGCAATTTTTAAGACAAGTTGCACCATTTATTAGTTAGCCACCATGCATGGCATTGCGTAAGCCCTCGCTAACAATAAGACTGAGCTTTTGGCCGCAAGCTTTATTGTGTATAATTCCATGTATAGCAATCAGAGCTATGCTATTGCAAGCTTGTGTTTGCATCGAGGAATATCCATCTCCACAGTTTTTCGAAATGTGGCTGCACATGATACGTTATGCAGATTCACTATACCAAGCGTGTGAGACCAATTGTCCCAGCGAGACTGGGTGCTTCGCAAACAGGCTTCTCCAGAGCCTACCACCAAATCTTGTTTGTAGGCAGGTTTGTTTCATCACTCTCTTGAGCTCTCGCTTCCTAGATTATCAAAATTACGGGGTCAGCTCGACATTGGTAAGATCCATCGAGCTCTTTGGTTGTGAATCCTCCCAACTCATGTTCGTCTTTGCGACTTCTTCGAATAGTGCAAGCTGCTCCACTGTTAAGCTCTCCCATAGCTCGGGTCCAGTGAACCTATCCCTCACGATTTTCCTTACCTTTTCACGAATTTTCGGGATGACTGAAGCGTGTTCCTTTTTCAGCAGCTCAAGCCAGGACGACGCTGCTGATTTGTCCGTTGGAGACAATAACAATATCATCGATGGCCGAGCAGAGATCAGGAACACCGCAAGCCTCAGCCAAGGAGAACAGGTCCTGCAATCCGCAAGGGCTTCGAATTTTAGAAGTGCCGATTGAGGCCCTGAGGCCGTCTGAGGTGGTGCCAAACGGAGGACTGAAGCAGGCAAACGATATTCAGGCGTCTACGTAACAGTGTCAATTGTATGCTGCCGCTGTCATCAAGGAGCTCTCTCGGAGCTCTTATACAGGGTAGTTGAAAGGAAGAGGTGGCCCTTGCTTTATATAGCTTATGGTGCACTTCCCATCCCTCTTCCGACTGTTCTTGCTCAGGAAACCTAAAAACTAGGTCAGAAAAGCTCAGCAAAAGCAAGGTAGCATTAGGCACCAGGTCATAGCAGGCCCTAATATCCATGAACATGTTTAAAACAAACACAATCATCCGATGTCCAGCACTCGATGTTTAGGAAGGCACCAAAAATGCAGCCTTCCACACCTGCTGTCCAAGCAAGTGGCTTCTAAGACTTCAGTTCGTCTTCAGCCACTCCAAGTGACTTTGAGCCATATAGCAGGATGAATGAAGAGTGTGTCCAACACAAAGAAGCCTTAGACGAGCAAAGTCGAGCACAAGCAAGTTTATGGCATGTCGACAGGAGCTTTGACCTGCTTAGCATAGGGAAACCTCCCGTGCTTAGTGCAAAAGACCGAGTTGCGATACTGGGTTCTCGGGAGAAGTATTTACCTGCATCATTGACGCGTCCGACGGGTCGAGCTCTCCCAGCGACCAGACATCTCCATAGATATACCGCAGAAATGCTTGGATGACAGTTGCATCTACCGGGCAGGGCAGCTCCAAGTCCAGTTTCTTGTTCAAGTTCCAAGTAGTCCCTGACCAATCCTCTTTGAACTTTGTTGCAAAATAGGGGATGCTCACAAGGACAGCAGAGTGAGCAGGGACCTTCGAACCATCCTGCACCATGCGTGAGTCCTAAGTGAGCAAAGATGGAGAACTCCTCAAGACTCCCCTCAACAAGAATACACACGCTCCCTTGAGCATCAAACAAGAGGATAAGATCACCACAGATTGCATATGTACCACCTGCACTTTACGAGCAACGTTGGCAATCAAGGATTCATTTCATTCTTACCTTGCAGATTAGTTTCAGATCCCCTGTGTGGAAAGCATTCTCGAGCAGAGACTTCCTAAGGACCATGTCTTTCACAGGAGACGCGAAAAAGTACTTGGTAGCGACAGAGTTCACTACGACCGAGATACTTAGGTTGGTGTACGGCCAGTAGTCAAAAGCTAGGCTCCAGGCAAAAGCAGACGATGCCTGCGGCGAAACCACAACAGCCTGGCTATTTGCTTGCACTGTCTTCAGAATCACCGATGCGACTTGACAGCCCTTAGCAAGAACTGTTTCTTGTCCTCCAGCCACAGTTGTGCTCCTGAAGACAATGCAAATAGTACTGCTAGGTCGGGATGAATAAGTACTCGCCCGGTCACAACTGACGTTCAAAGTTCCAAGATTCGTTGAATCAAGCCCTCCAACTAGTGCAACATGCGGCCCACGAATTAGTGTGTAGTGCTCAACTTGTCCGACAGCGTATTGCTTGGCAAATGGAATTGTATATACCAAGCTGCAGCTAGCATGTTCTGACTTCGACTGATCACTCGCTTCCTCTGGAAGCTCTGCAGAAAGCTCAACCCTGGAAGGCTTCAGGATTGTTCTCTTTTCCTCCATGTCTGACATTGCTGAAACTTAACCTAGTCTCGAGATTATGTTTGTCTTTCTGGCGCGGGTGTCTTTTTCGGAATCTCCTTTTGCACGCCCACTCCTCGATCTGGGACTCCCTCAGATATATGCAATGCCGTGCCGCACAGGCAATCTGAAGACGCCTCTTCTGCGGCCTATGTTCGCAAGCTCCCGCAAGCGCTCCTTGAAGTTCGAGTTTGAACCTCGATTCTGAACGACTGCATCTCGAGACGCACTGTTCGAGCAAGCTGGGAACTGGATGATCCCTCCAAGAGCGACGAGTCGGTGCGCGGTAATGGTTAATAGCTACCTGTCCTAACTAGGTACTAGGACTAGTGCCATACTACCGACGCCGTATCTAGTTCCAGGACTGTTCCTGATTTACTTGGGCTGGCAAGAGGGATGCGCATCATCTAGGTAGGTACCGCGTAGCTAGTAGTCATCAGATTCATTGTCATGCGGCATGGCGTGCCCTCACGCCCTCATCATACCGGACTAGACGAGCTGAACGAGCAAGGCATCAAAGACAGGAAACTGCTGTAGAAAGTTGAGCTCTTTTGAGCTACAAGGTGCACTTTGTACGAGGCAGGGGAAGCTCACATCCTCTGAGTCTCTTCGCCACTTTTACTTTTGGGAAAATGATGAGCCAAATGCAAGATCAGAGGTCATCCAATGGGCCACGGAAGAGGCAGTTTGACGGACCTGACAGAGGCCAGGCAAAGCGGCCAGCAGGAGTTCCAGAGACCCTCTTCAGGCTTCTTGTTCCAGGCAAGCGGGTAGGGAGCTTGATTGGGAAAGGAGGTTCAATCATCAAGCAGATGAGGGAGGAAACAGGGGCACGAATCACCGTAGCAGATGCCCCTCCGGTGAGTTGAGGAGCACACTGGTTTGAGATTGGATGCAGGTGGAGGACTTGCTTTTTGGAAACCTGGCAACTCTTGAGAATGATAGGATGGGAGTCCGCTTTGATGTATCTGAATTTCACGGCTTGTTCCTTGCCAGACCCAATTATCATCATTTGTCAAGTTCGATGCTCTCTGATCCTTGCTGCATGTTCCTTGCAGTCTTCAGAAGAGCGGATGGTCATCATCCAGGCACAGGAGGTCGTTCAAAATGTGCAATTTGGACCCGCGCAGCTGGCGCTCTTCAGGGTGCACAACCGGTTACTAGAAGTAAGTTGGTTGGATTGCCAAGCTACAACCTTGATGGAATACTCACAGTGTAATATATCTGCGTGCCTTCAAAGTACTGAGCTTTTTTGCTCACCAGACGCAGCGGCTGACGGTCGATGCAGACTGTTGAGCAGTTACTCTTGGGATTGTGTACGGGTTTACTTGCACCGCCTGCTCATGCTCCCCTAGATTGAAATTGGTTTCTGCAATCAAAGGTGGTTGCATGTCGCCTACATGAGGAGGCTTCCTTGTCATCATGATGTCTCGTCTCTGGTTTGCAGGCCATAGCACAAGAAGCAGAAAAGACTGGGGCCGTTCCTGATGGTGGCAGGGTCACGACGCGCCTTCTCATCGCGGACACGCAGGCAGGGTCGGTGATCGGCAGGAAGGGGGACATCATCAAGCAGATCCGGGAGAACTCAAAGGCCTTCATCAAAGTCCTGACGCAGGAAGAGAACCCGTCCACAGCAACGCAGGAGGATAGGGTGGTGCAGGTGAGAGTCTGGGGCAGGCGATGTTTTTTGTCTATTAGAAGACCTTGTTAGCCTTGATTCATCCATAACATTATGATTGGTTGGCAAAGGTCGCACCTTGCATTTTACGGTTTGAATAAAACTGAACGCCACCTGCCGTGTTAGTTGCAGCATGATGGCCAGAGCATGTTCTGGTCCTCTTTTGAAACAATTTTGGATTGAGCTCCTAACCTCTAGCGCTGCTGCCTGTTGCCTCACGCTTGAGTTGGGAGCGGCATTGACTGGACGACCTGCAGGAACGGGGCGTTGCATTCAAACCACCAGCTTGCAGTTTGTCCAACTACTGCAGTTGATGCTTTGACTTACGCTGTTGCAGTTGCTTCCTTTTGCACCACTTGCATGCTGAAGCATCTCTCTAACATTGACCAGATTGTTGGCGAACCTGCACAAGTCCAACTTGCCCTTGAAATTGTCTCAAAGCAGCTAAGGTGAGCAGGGTGCTCATCGCTTTACAATTTATCCAAAAAACTTGACTTCCAGAAGAGTTGGAGTGGAGTATGTTCCTTCAGGTTCTGCTTTTAATGTTTGTGCTTTTGGGCTTGTTGTGCTCTCTCATAAGAGCTGTCACGTTTGCATTATCTCCTACAGTTCTGATGGACCTACAGACTTCAAGTAGCTGTGCTGAATTTGCCTTCTGGCTTGCACTGGATTATCACCAAGATAGGTTTCTGCTGTTTTTCTGGTCTGCTCTTTGCATGAAGCAGAGGATACAATGTCTGGTATTGTGCCCCATGATGTCACCCAAATTGGTCCTAGCCTTTCTTCCAAGAAGAGAGACTGCGGACAAACTCAACCGCTGATTTTTATCTGAGGGCATAATCCAGAGAGGTTTTGGACAGTGATTGACAAGTTATTGTTTGCGTTGCTGTATATTCTGGTGTTTGTACCTTTCCAGCCTACGCTTATTTCTTTCTTGTTTCTTCAAATGTGGTTTGATGTATGCTCGTGCCTGTGCGCTTTCACATTCGCTACCTGCAAGATGCCATGACATTTTCCTTCTAATGCATCATCATTTCAGGCCCCTGGCTTCTTTTCAGTTTCACGTTCTCTGTCGACACAGAACTCATCAGTGCCTTCAGGGTCCTCCTTACTTACTGGCGGTCTTGACTTTAGAGCGCAGTCTTTTCACCAACAAAACTCTCGCTTGCATAAGTTATGAAGTCGCTTCTTTTGACTCTTATTTCTGTTTGTTTTGGGCTTAATTGCACCATACCAAAATTTGTGCAGAGAGAACCCTCCAAAGGGTCAGGGCGCAGCAGAACACCGTCTCCCAAGCGGCCCCCAGCAGCAAGTCTTCGCTCCCCCGCAGCCCTTCATACCCTCCTCGACTCCCCTCAGCTTCGGCACCGCTTACCAGATCGAACCCAGCACTGGGGCCCTCGTTCCTGTGCCCATCTCGCGAGGGCCTGCTTCTGCGCCCCCCCCCTTGCGCTTCGAAGAGCATCGGGGGGACAGAATGTTCGCTCAAGAGCAGTTCAACCGCTCCCAGGGGGAGCCAAACAACCTGGGCGCAGTCTACGGTGCACGGGGGGACGCTCTGCTACCAAGGCGAGACGTTGGCCCCAGTGGTTTGGTTAACGGGGGGAGCTTCCCATTGGACGAAGGAATCATCAACCGGACAGTGGACTACAGCCGAATAGCAATGAGCCGGCCTCAGGGCGAGTTCGATCAGCACGGAGGGCAGCAACCGAGGGGCCAAGACGCTGCTTTTGAGCGGAGAGCCACTCCTCCTTGGGCTAGGGGTACAAACCCGGACCAAGCAGGGGGGCATGGTCAGGGGGGCCTTGGTATTGGGGTTTTGGGCGCAGGGGGGGAACTTCCCGGAGGTCCAAGTAGCGGGGTCCTGGGTACGGGAGGGTTCGGCGGAGGGTCTGGTGCGGGTCCCAGCATTGGGTCGACTGTGAAGATGAGCGTGAAGATGACGATCGCGCGATCCATGCTGGGCGCGGTGATCGGGCGGAAGGGCGCGAACGTGCAGCAGATTCGGCAGGTTTCGGGGGCCTTGGTCAAGGTACGGGAACTACGTCCTTGCCGTGCTGCTCTTGTTACCTCTGTTGTTGATGGCCTTGATTTGTTTAGGACGTCTGCTCCCCCGTTTATTCCTGCGCATCCGGTGCTTTGTGTGCCTTCGGTCGCAAAATTGCTCTGCTTGAAAACCTGCCCTACTCAGCCGTCAAGTGTCTTGCTCGGACTGTAGCACTGCGGACCTTCGTCTACTTTTCGAAATGTCTGATTAAAACAATATGTCCCTTTCATCTCCCTTTTACAACTTTCCAGGTACACGACAAGGAGGAGCAGCCCGTGGTGGAGATTGAAGGCTCGATGGAGGCCGTCACAGCAGCCCAGAATCTGATCCAGCAGTCCGTGATGCAAGCGGAGCAGGACAGGGCTCGCGGAGATCGACCGCCCCCCAGGTATAACGCGCCGCAAGCGCCTGCGCTTGGGGGCCAGTTCGGGGGGGCGGGGTTCCAGAATCAGGGAGGAGGCGCAAGGGCTCCCGGCTTTGGGGGGCCGCAGCGGCGATGATTTGTGAGCAGTAGATGCGGAAGATTGGAAGATGACGGGGGAGATCGAATTTTCGATGAACTCGATTTCCAAGTGACGTTTGGTTGGGAGGCAAACGCGGGTTATTGAGAGGGGAGAGCATTTGTGAGGGGTGGTGTGGAGCCGCGGGGCCTCAGCATGATTGGCATGCTACGGCTTGTCCCAGATGGGTGAGGAACCGGATGGCTGAGCTACAAGCAGATTTCGTTGCAGCGGAAGCAGGTAAGTTTGGTGAACGCGCTTTGATTGACTCTGGTGCAAAAGCAACTGACCAGATCACCAAGGCCGTCTTGACCAAAGCCGTCTTGACCACCCCCCAAACGTGGAACAGACAGCGCCACTAAGTTCGACTCCTGCAGCCAAAGAGTCCGAAACCCAATAGCCAACCCCCTCTCTAACAGTTGTAGTTATCCCTCTTCTACCCGGGCATCTTTCACACGATGATTCCAAAACCCAAGCCTTTTAGCGCAGCAGGCTGCTATCTCAAGTAACCCCGTGTCGGACCTGACCCGGAACCCCTCCACATTGGTGCCTAGATCAAGCTTGCAAACCAGACGAGGGTAGAATTGACGGTGCACGGAGGTTCCTTTCATGTCCTGTAGTAAACAATACACGGCCCTTTCGCCATTCGAATCACTCTCTGAGGCCATCTACATTTGTTGGTACAAGTACTTTTGCAGGACCTTGTAAACCTTTGCTTCGTAAACGTGAGTAGACCCGTGCTATTTGACTATGAATTGCAATTCTCAACCGCTGAATCCCCACAGACTTCCTGCTTCTCCAGAGTAGATTGCGTGCTGCTTTTCTAAAACAAAGTTGTGTGCCGCATCTCATCACGCCGCGATAGCTATCTCTTGTGGCTCTGGAGGAATATCTCCGTTCCAAAACTGCTTTCATTGGGAATCTCTCCTATATCATCCCAAACCAGGGTTTTACTTCACTCCCACGAAATCATTTCGTGGGAACCCTTCCCTACTACGAACGTAGTCGCATCCATGCTCTCGTGTCTTTCCCATAGTCACTCATCATCCACTCCGAGCGATGGTTCTCCTCTCGTAGCCAAACATCAACATTTCACCACTCTTCCCCTCTAGCCCCAAAATGTGTCGAAAAGATATTGTTTCAGTCGCGCTAAGGAAGCCAACGGACAAGTTGGGGGATTGGAGACAAGTTTTGAATGTCATGCACAAGGCGAATCAGGAGCTTGACAATATGGAACCCAAGCAGATCATTACCTACCCATCTAGCTGGGCTGCAACTCGAGCTTGTTATGCCAGACCAGTAACAACAACAAAAGCCAAAAATATAGAGAGAACCGTTGCGCCCAAGTGCATAGGACTGCACGAACATGATATTACTGCATTGCAGACAATGCTGAAAGCTTTAATCGTCATTAGAGGTAGGTGATGAAGAAGGGCTTACATTGCATGCAACAAGCATCTGGTGGGTCGTAAGACAGTCGTTTGGTGACAATTAGGATGCCCACTGCTCGCGAGCTGCTTTGTCATGCAGGCCCGACGCACGTCTGCATGTATGTCGCTCGCATACAGTTACCTGCCTGCACTTCCCGGCACATTCATGTCAGTAAATGTTGATGCATAATTATCTGCAGCCTCATGCCGTAATGTGGAAGGAGCTAGCCTACAGGTACCAAGTGACCGTGCGTGGCCAGATGCGGATTCGAACATATAATGCATGATGTGTCAGAAGACAGCTGGATTAAGAAGCATGTAGGGTGTCAGAAGTTACAACTCAGCTCTACAAACTTCGTCGACAGATCGTTTATTGATGAAGCCCCGCAGTGACTCCGAAGTTGCTTGTTTCAGCGCCATGGCAGCCTAGGTGGCAATAGACACGTATGAAAAGAACCAACCATCAGCACATGTCGGCATCATTGTGCCGTTCCTACAACTCGAGCGCCATTCGCCGATCGTTGACTACAGCTCCATCATACATTCGTGCCAAGGTTGAAAGATACAAAACGGTAGTTGACCCCCAAGGAGAATGTATTGGATGCTTCATGTTCTTGACCCGTGGCTGACGCTCAGGTTGCTAAAAAGGTTCTTTGCTTGTTGATCAGCATTTCCTATGTAGTTGTGAGGGGTCAGCTTCTTCAGATCTACTTTCACACTCTCCGGTAACTCAAGACCATCCACGAAGCTCTGCATGCTTTCCCGAGTGACCCGCTTTCCTCGAGTGAAGTCCTTCAGCTTCTCGTAAGGCTTCTCAATGCCATATCTTCGCATTACCTGCAACAAGGGCGGGCGACAATGCAGACGAACACATAAGCGAGTCGGTGTACAGAAAAGGCAGGTCTGAACCCGCCTGTCTGCCCTCGTACTATGTCCACACGTTTGGGCCAGCGTCTCTGATCCGGACTGCTGAATCCTGATGATCCGAAACCATTCTGCGAGCAGACCCTACTCAAAACGAAAGGGCAATCCGCCTCTGAACGGACCGAGTGGTAGCCTGGACAACGAATCAAACTGCTGCATTACGCTGGTTTCGGAGCTGTGAAAGCTACCTAGAAGGAGCTGACTTTGACCCAGAAGGATCTGACTCTGACCCACTAGAAGTTCAGAGCCGTCCTTACCGTTTGAATAGGCTCTGCCAATACTTCCCAAGTCGCGTCCAAGTCCGCCGATATTCGGTCTTCGTCGACCTGCACCGTAAGCGGGCTTGAGTCTGCAGCTCATTGTCATGTGCTTGGCTGGTCACATGATAGTCTATCTCGTGCTTTTGCCTCGTCGTTGTATAGCAACTTGTCAAAAGTTGACTCTGGACAAAGTCACACAGATGATTTTAAAAGGAGCTTGACAGAGCGCCCGAGAGCCACTCCCAGAAAGCCCGTTCTGATGAACAGGGAAGGAACAAACATATTGGAAAGAACTAGTGCGCCAGCCCGCAGTCTTCCTGCAATTTCGAACAACTTCTTTTCGTGACAAGACCTACGTTGGGGGGTGGTGATAAACCTAAGTCGACTCTGGTTCTCGAATATTAGCTTGAAGCGAGCCCTTGCTCTAAAAATGTTCGGCGCACTCCCTAGGGCAGCCGATGGGGCTGCCCGGCAGAGCGCACGCCGCAACGGGTCAACCTAGTATGGGCGGGTTTTAGCGCTGCATGGGCCACAGCAGGGGCGCACGAGTGACTCTAAGGAACACCGCCGGAGGTGATTGACAAAAGGACGCCACAGATCCCAGTCTTTGCTGTACATCAGACGGTGGTACATGGTGCGACATTGAGGACACACAAAGCGCCCGCATGGAGCAAAAGCTAAACGAGTTGTTTAGACTGAGGTGAAACATTGTAGGGCTCAGCCAAAATGACGAGCTTCTAGAGTACGAACGTTCGCAACAGGACCACAAACAATGCCCCTAAACAACCGTCGCTTTTGCGGTTGCCCTTGCGACGGGCTTTTGCGCAACCAGATTCCCGCGCCAACGATCTGACTTTGAGGTCGTTCCCGTTCAAGGAGGGTGCGCAGCACAAGGCTGCGCCGAAAAGCGCCTCAGCTGCAGCCGCACCGTTCTCTCGAGCCGGACCTGATTACCTCCAACCCTGCCCGCCACCCCGACTCTCAATCTCGACTGGAAACCGTCGACAAAATCACAAGGGGTGCTCTTTGTCTCGCGAACTTCCACTTCCCCCGTCTCCCCGTGCAACCATATCAATCCCCAAATCGGAAATTCCTAGTCCGGATTCGCCAACCACTGCAACTTCCAAAATGAAAAAGAGATGGCGTTCCTCTTTCCCCACTGCGCCTCACCTGCAGCCGTATCACTCTCCTCGAATCGATTGACAGTTCCGGACCCGCCAGCCACTGCGACTTCGAGCGACGAAAATACAAGGAAAAGAAGACAAGACGTCCTCCTTTCCGCATAGTTCCCCTCACCTGCAGCTTGCTGATCCCCTTCAGCGTGCTCTCGTACGCGACCAGGGAATAGCCCGCCCCGACGCCCAGGTTGCGCAGCACGGTGGAGTCGGTGAGGTCGCGCTGCCAGCGCGAGATGGGCAGCTTTTCCGCCAGGTGCGTCAGCGTCGCGTTGGCCAGCCCCAGGTTGCCCTCGCTGTTCTCGAAGTCGATCGGGTTCACCTTGTGCGGCATCGTCGATGACCCCACCTCGCCCGCGATCGTCCTCTGCGGGGTGAGAGAGAAGTCTGTTCAGGGAAGTGTGGCTGTTTTTTCTGTTCCCATTTGGCTCGATGTCAAACCCCAGGTGTAGCGTCTTTGTGCCGCATCATAAACAAGTCCACCTCCCCTGGAATGGTTCGCCACAGAGGGAGGGAAGGTTTTGCAGGGCAGTCAAACGGGTGAAGAAGTCAAGAAACCCGATAGGGGTGTGGCTGTCGCTGGGAAATGACGATTTTCTTCGTCTGGGGGAAAGTAGGACGGACTTTCTGACGGCTGACACAGGTAAGCGAAGCAAAAGCGACTCCAGTACTCGATATGAAGCTTTTAGCCGGTCCCACCTGCTTGAAGTAGCCCAGCGAGATGTAGCCCCAGACGTCCCTATCGAAGCCGAGCAGGACGGTGTTGAAGCGCGAGACGGCGTGGAACAGCTCAGCGATGTAGTCGTGGGGCTCGATCTGCAGCCAAGCGACGAGGGCGAAAGTTCAGGTAAGGACTCTCGAGTTGGAGGGGTTATAGTTTCGCTTGCGCTACAGTGCCAGCGCTGCGTCATTGGGAACGATGAAGAGTGAAACATGAAGGAAGAGGAGGCTGGTAAAAGTTGAGCCAGTGTGAGAAGGCTTCTCAACGCTCAGACTCAGCCAACTCTCTGAGGAACGGACGCAGATCTCTGCAACAACGCATTGTCTGAAACGTGTAGGCGAAGAACGATTCGCACCACGGTGTTAAGTGCGTCTCGGCTACTCTTTCGCACACGAGTCAGAACAGGTGCAAAAGTGGCGCTCTCCGATCGAAGGTGCCGTACTGAAAACCGAAAGCACCGCACCTGGGTCACGTACGGGTTAAAGCCTAACCCCAGCCTGTGGGTGACAAACCGCTCCGCCTCCTGCTGCCAGTCTACTTCCGGGTATGCCACCAAATGTGCGTTGTAGTTTCCCACCGCCCCCGCGATCTTCCCGAATATCTCCACCCGCGCGACTTGGTCCCGTTGCCGCTGCAGCCGGAATGCGAAGTTGGCCAGCTCCTTGCCGAGGGTCGTGGGGGACGCGGGCTGCAAATACACAGGGCGGGAAATCAGACGTGTATCTTTGATTCAGATTTCTTCGATGTTTTTTCCTACTGGAAAAGATAGGTGGAGAAGACAGGTTCACCGGGGGGTAATACGAAGGGCTTGCCCAGAGAAGTCAGGCAAACTGCAAAACGAAAAGCGAACTTTTGAAGTCATCCAGCCTCCAGATAAGAATCCTGAAGGGTTCCTGTGTTGGAAATGGTCGACGTTCCAAAGCTTTAAAGGCAGATTCTGCGGACCCCAAAAAATGTAAGTGCAACCTCATTGGAAAATGAGAGATTGATGCAAGCCCAGCAACCGACGAACAACCCCCTCTCAGCAGAAGTCCAATCTAATCCACAGGACATTCTCGACAGACCCGAATCGACATCCCACCTGCCCGTGCGTTCTTGAGAGGAGGGGGACTTCAGCATTGGCGTGCGCCAGGTCAGCGAGCGCTTTGACAATGGCGTCCATGGCGGGGAGGATGTGCTGTCTGCGCGCCTCCTGGAGCATCAGCGCGTGCGCCAGGTTGTTGATGTCCTCCGACGTGCACGCAAAGTGGATGAATTCCAGTACCTGCAGGTATGCCATATCTCAATGATCGGCGCTTGGTTTCGAACGGTTCTTTACAACAAAATGAATAATCCAGGCTTCTCTGTCCTAGCAACTCAAGGGTTTCGATCACTTCTAAATTGCGTTCAGCGCCTGAACTGGCGCAGTTCTATCAATTGCATCACATAAATCAAAACGAAGCGCCACAAGCTATACTCGACTTCTGAGAAACAGGCATCCATATCAATCTGAACATGACTCGGACCACCCCGACCAGCACACCGCTCCCCCAATGGAACAGGAATATTATGAGAAAAACTTTTGACCTATACTCACAGCCCACAGGTCATCGACTCGACGAAGACATTGTTGAGCAAGATCTCGCATGGGCAATCGAGCGGAGAGCCAAAAAAGGAGCAAAGCCATTCCATTTGGTGACTCAGATATTGGCAGGTCCTCACGGGTCTCAGCTCTGGCACCTCCTCAAACTTCTCCTTGAGCACATACTCGATCGCCTTCACATCGTGGTTCGTCACACGCTCCACCCGCTTGACCATCTGCGCATCCTCCTCGCCCCAGTTCTCCGCTACTGAGTCCAACAGCTCGTTAGTTTCGCGGCTGAATGGGGGCACCTCCTTGATGGCGGGGTTCTCCGCTAGCGCTTGCAACCAGCGAATCTGTAAACCTTTTCGATGTAAGTCCTCAGACAATCAGGGGTCAAAGATCCACATTCAGGTGTCAAAAAACCACATTTAGGAGCGTGGATTGTCATGGCAAACAGCGCTTAAAATCAGGAAAAGTTTCCTATTGGGTGTCAAATGTAAGAGTCAGCTGGTAAGAAAATTCAGTGAGCGCGCTTGTAGTGGAAGTCAGAGTTTTTCCCGCATATCTGGATCATGGTTGAACTCTCGAAAGAGGCAAAAGGAAGATGAAAGTAGGCCAATGCACCCAAGGGTGCCCCTCACTGGGAACTGTTGTAAATTGAGGGTGGGCCGCTCACCTCCACGAGCACTCTGTACTTGATGAGGCCGTACTCACTGAAGATGCTCCGCAGGCCCTGCACCTTGGCCCCATACCGGCCGTCGAGCGGGCTGACAGCTGTCAGGGGGGAAAGGTCCAAAAGCTGGGAGAAGGAGAGTTACGTTCAGCCTTTCCTATAAAGGAACGAGAATGTGGAGACTTTTGGAGGGCGGAGGTCGGTGGCAACTAGCGATGGGAAGGTGGTGAGCAGTACAAGAACGTTGCAGCGCCGCTTCCCGTGCGAGAATCTAGATCTCCTGAATAGAGAAAGTATACGGACACAAGGACTCTGTGAGCAGAAGAGGAAGGGAAAGAAGTAGATTCCTACATCAACGGCTCAACGAAAAGGAGTCGAAACGATGGACAAAGCAGCGCCTATCAGCTCCACTGGAATGGATTACCTGCAATGCAGTAATACCTATCAATTCACATTCAACAGCACAGCACAGCACAGCAAGAGCAAAAAGAATGTGATTGAAGGACCTGGCATTCGACATGGGCCACTTCAACCGTTCCCCTGTGAGTGCCGTGCATTCACTTGTAGATTGACCATTACCAATGCTGAAGAATCAGATGTCAGCCTCACCCAAGTACAATCTGTCAATGAGCACAAGCAACTCAGATGCTCGTAGGCAGCTGACCTTCACCACCAATCATAAACGCACCTCACTGGTGGTGCCCACATTTTCCGCCACCGCCATTTGCACACCGCAGAGCCGCTCTGTTTGAGAGCTGCCCAGCCCAAACATCCGAGCCAGAAGCTTGTGATCTGAAGAGAACGCTCCTCTGGGGGCAATCTTTTCAATGTGGCGCATGCATTGGAAAGGGGTGCAAAGTTGCCCTTTGCCTGACCGCTGTGACGCTGTTGAAGGAGTGCCCGCCGAGAACAGGGGCACACTGGCCGCCTGGCAAAAAGCAACGGCCTCCATTACAGCGTCTCTTACCTATGCTTCTTTCGAGATTCAATCTCAAGAATGAAGAGATTTGTGAGTTGGTCGCACGCACTCACTCTGCCGAAAGTAGTAAAATCAAAAGGTGGTCGAGTTGTTGGTTAAATGCAAAATCTGACCAGCTGATGTCTCAGATACGAAAGTTCTTTTTAGAATTGAGCTCATTGAAAACGACCTGTCCTGGAAGATTCTAAATACTGTCTTGTCTGTTACCGACGTATGGTTCTGAACCTCAAATCCGTTTAGGGTGAGAAATCCATATTTTATCGAGTCCCCTCTCTGTGCTCTTGTCAGGCTCCCGAGACCCCTCTGCCTCTGGAATGAGGGAACTCCAATTTGGCAATGCAACTGGGGGTTTGGGTAAACTCTGGACACGCATACTCACGTTGGGCGCCCCTCTGGCTTGGGAGCAATGTTTACTTGAGCATGGTAATCTTGCATCGTTGAGCGGTTCAGATGGCGTCTCACGGAAATATGGCAGGGGACGCCTTTGGCTCGTTCAAGCCCACCACGGCCCCTGCCGTTGTGAACGAAATTCTGGACTGGGCCAAAAAGGTGATGGTCGTCCAATTGCTCAAGGAGAACGAACGCGTCTGCGACCTCTATTGTGGGAGGGGGGGCGACATCCGCATCTTTGCAAGCGGCAAAGTGGGGGGGTACTTGGGCATTGATTCGTCCGCCTCAGCTGTAGAAGCGGCGCGGGAGAATTGGCTTAAGCATGGGAAGCCGTTCGAGGCCGACTTTCACGAGGTTGATCCTTGCTTATCGAAACTGATTGGGCGGCTGGGGTTAGCGAGCGGGGATTTTGATGTGGTCAGCTGTCAGGGCCATCTGCAGGACTCTTTCCTGACGGAGATCACAATGCGGAGCTTCTTGACAAACGTGGCTGCGCTTCTGAGGCCCGGGGGGTACTTCTTTGGAACGTGTCCGGACTCCAGCACAATCTGGTGAGCTTTCCTGGTGCCTTGGAAGAAAGCACAAGTCCCTCTTACAGTAGTAGTAGTGATTTGACAGAGCTCGGTGCACCGTCTTTCTTCAGCACTTGTTGGGAAAAACGGCGGTGCAATCAAGTTATAGACGTGAATGCTGTGAGAGAAGTTTGTTGCGCCCCTGAGCAGTATCATGATCTGAGCTGGCTCAGCGATACTATTCTGATGATATTGTGTTCGCTAGCTTCTAAATGGATGACAAAGGGGTGGTTATGCTCTGCGATGGCTGAACGATCAGAACAAGATTTGTTTAAGATGGTTCAGCGTGCTGCCAGTGTCAGTGGGCCCTCTTGTCCTTATCCTTCTTTCTAGAAAGGTTTTCCGTCCACAAAAAGTTCCCACTAACAGTTATGACTGTTCCTTCACAGCCCACTGTTTCTTTCAAAGTCTCTTGTTTAAAAGCCTGCCACCTCTTGAAAGAAGTGGTGCTGGGGAGGGAGGAGCAGGGGGTATTTGAGAGGGAGCCCTTTAAAAAACGCCCTTCCTCAAGAGCCAATTCAGTCGCTTCTTTTTTAAGACTGCCCCAGTGCCTGAGGGGCTCTGACCATAGTCCTCAAATCAGTCACAATGATGTAACGGCATCTCTCCAGGGATCTGATCAGTTCTACTGCTGCAAGGCATGCCCCGATACATTGCCTGCAGAAGAATGAGGTATAACTTTTTGTTGCAGGGTGAAGGCCCAGAAGGCGTTACAGCAAGCGCTGCAGCACGGGCAGACGGGGCCCATCCCCAAGGTGGCCTCAAAATCGTTCCAGATCACCTTTGAGAACGACAAGTGAGTACGCAGGGGGACCTGGGGCCTGCAGATTTGCCTCGAAGAGTGGATACATGCTAGTGGTGCTTGCTTTCTGAATTCTGCTCGCATTTGTCTGAAAGGTGTGTTGAGATCCGCAGCGAGTGCCTAAGAAGGTTGTCGTTTCTCGTTTTGCTCCGACGATCCGTCCGCACTGCACTGCGAGGAATTTGTTCTGCGGAAATGCGACCTGCGATACTGAATGCCCATTGTGTTCTACGAGTGAATCAGGAGGATTCGTCAATCCAAGCGAAGCTTTTCATCAAAGTAATTGTCGCCGCTTGCAGGTTCTCCACCTTTGGTTGTGAGTACTTCTTCTCGCTGATCGATGGCATGCCCCCTCAGAAGCAGCTATTGGTCCATTTCCCTTCGCTTATAAGGTTAGCCACCTGACATCCTCTTGGAAGAAAAAGATGGGCACGTTTTATGTCATCTCCGTCGTCCACTCCCAGTCGTTGGAAAGTTCTTATTCTGTAAGTGATAACACATACAGACTTCTCGCTTTATCAACTCGTGATAGAAACAGAGAAACAGAAATGATAGAAGCTTGGAACAATCTCGGAGGACAGGAAAATCCAATGAACACCAAAATCTACATATTGTTTGAACTTTACGAACCCCTCAGCCATCTCTGACAGAGGAAAAAGATTCTCAAGAGGAAACTCATCTGAGGCTATGCGCTTCCCAAGCCCACCTCGTACTGGCCCCGTGCTCCAGGTTTGCCGCTGAGGTGGGGCTGGATATGGTCGAGATCAGCAATCTGGAGGACTTCTACGAGTACAACAAGTGAGGCATCGCATTCACTTTTCAGACCTTGGATGCTTTTACAGTTCACCTTGAAGCCCCACGTTCATTTCTCTTCCCTTGATACTAGACCTAACGTCCCTATATCGTCCTCCCTTCAAGTTTACTCTCTTGTGTCCATTCCCTGCGTAAGCTCTTCACCCCGTCATTCATAGCTACGCAAAAGCGCTACTTACTCGAGATAGTCAGTCGGAGCTTTGATCTTCATTTTTCCATCGGTTTCGATCAACATCGCGGTCATTGTCTTTACAAACTTGTCACCGAGCATATAGCAGTTGCTGCTCTTGCATTTCCATCTTTGTGAAAGTCACGTGTGCGTCGTCGACAAGAGACCCTGCTCCCTCTCTCCAGTTGGAGCGCAGAATTTGGAAACGGCTGGGGGACGTGTCGCCCCGGTCTATCTTTTGACGTTGAAGGTTAGGCGCTCCAGCTCCGTCAATGTTGAAAGGTTACGACCTATTTGGCGCAAGCCCTCGGCGCATCCCTGCTCTGAAGTTTGGGCTGCCGATGGCCAGATCATGCACATTGAAAATTGACACATTTTCGTCATCTTGTAGTTTTTGCAATCGGCCTTTTGAGCTCATCGCCACTGCGTTTCGCAGGGCCCCTTTTGGCGACTTGCTCCACCTGCCCACGTCCACCGACGGCAAGAAGCGCATTCCCGGCTACGCCAAAGAGCTCATGTCCATCCACGCCACGTTCGTCTTCCGCAAGTCCGAGCGCGCGCTCCCCGCGCCCCTCCCGCACATGAGCCCGCTCCCGACGGTGCTGACGTCAGCACCGGACACCGGACTTTCGGACGTTTCGGACGGGGAGGCTGCGCCGGGAGCTGCGGACGATGCGTTTGCCGTGGATGGGGGGTCGCCCATGCTGCACATTTCCAGCCCCCCGAAAATTGTTGCCGCCCCCACGGAAGAGGAGGCTGCCCCAGGGGATCCCCCTGCGAAGGCTGAGGTGAAGAGGCGGCGGCTGCGGAAAGTGCAGAAAGAAGCGGAGGTTCCGGTACCGGGGGGTGTGGAAAAGCCCGTTGTACAGAAGACGCCGGCGGAAGCGGTGGGAATTGCTGCTGGGAAGACGCGGCTTGGGCGGCTGAGAAAGGCGGGCGAGGGACCCCGGGGCGCAGGGGCAGAGGAAGGGGTAACTAGAGCGGCAGAGGAACTCAAGGCGGGAGCTGCGAGTGCAGCGACGAAGAGGATTGAGAAGGTGGCCAGGGTCAAAGCAACTGGCGATGCCGAAAAGGTGGGGACGGGCCAGGCAGCGGGAGTGTCGAAAGACGCAGCGAAACCGGACGACGCTGCCAGGGGCGCAGTGCCCAAGGGCGCAGTGCAACCCCTGAAAAAGGGCGTGCTGAAGAAGGTGGGGAAAAAGGGCGGTATTGCGGTGTTTGTAGCACGGGGGGCCGGAGAGAAGACGAGCGATTCCCCTCGGATGCGTGCAGAGGGGATGGCGATACTTGCGCTGGCTGCATTTGCACCCGGGGCCGACGTGCCAAAAGTCGAAAAGAAACGGGGGGTGAAGGCTGACCCGGGCAACGCGGGGTCCGTTCCGGTTCCGGTGAAGGATGAGCGCGGAGCAAGCGAGGGCGTTAGAACGGTTGCCGCAGCGCCCGGAAAGAAGGGCGGGAGGCTGCGGAAAAGGCAGGGCGGAATTGTTGAAGCGGCGACGGCGACGGCGAGCGAAGAGGAAGTGGTTGCGAAGGTGGAGGTACCGGAACCGGAACCCGAAGCGGCTCCTCCGGAGCTACCCGCAGAGGAACCGAAGCCAGCGGCAGAGGAAACAAACATCTCCGTCGAGAAAGCAGGCAGTACGGCGAGAGGGGTGAAGAAGGGGGCTGCGAAGGCTGGGGGTTTGCCAGGGAGGCCACCCCCCCGCCGGTCGTCGCGCTTCGAGAAGTTCGACTTTGGGGCGGCATTCCAGGGATCCCCGACGGAGTTCTCGTTACCCGAGGAGTGGCTTTCAGAGGCGGGGGGCAGGAAGAACCGGAGGATGAGCATCCGGGTGCCGTCCTCGGAAGAGGGAGCGCCGGACCAAGTGCTCGAGGCGCAGATTGACGAGGTGGGGGTAAGAAGGGCACGCGCGGCGAGCATTGAGCGCGAGATCGAGGCCGCGCAAATAGAGGCGGTTGCGGAGGGGAAGAGCGAGTTTGTGCGGGGAGAGGGAGGTGAGGCAGGCTGGGCAGCGGAGAAAGGAAAAGGGGGCCAAGAGAGGGGAGATGGGTTGGTAGCGAAAACAGAAGCCCGGGGAGGAGCTGTCCAAGAAGGCGGAAGAGAGGGAGACAAAGGTGCTACAGCTGCGGAGGCGGGTGCGGTGCTGCGGGCTCCCGGGAAAGGGGGGAAGAAAGGGAAGGGAAAGAAACAGAAGCGCGGGGGTGGTGAGGTGGAGAGTACCGCGGCGCTTGCCCGAGAAGCAGGCCCTGGAGTCGAAGCGTCGGCTGGAGTGGCGGGTGACGCGTCGGCGGGGCTTACGGACGACCCGGCCGCGCAGCCGCCGTCCGCTGGTGACGCCTTGGCAGGAGAGGAGAGTCAGGGCAGATTGGATCCGCTGACGGAAGCAGGAGAAGCGGAAGGCGTGGGACGAGACACGCGGAGCCAAGCGCCCGCGCCCGACTCGCTCCAACTAGGGTGGGCTTATGACGAGGCGCAACCCTTCGTCGGAGCCGTGTACACAAGAGCGGGAAAGAGGAAGGGCGGGAAAGCGCAGGGGGGGGGGAGCGGCGCGGCGAAGGAAGGGGAGAAGACCGCAGTAACGGGTGACGGGGAGCCAAGCCCGAGCGTTACGCCGGGTAAGAAGCGGCCTGGCAAGGGGGGCAGAAAGAGCGGGGCGGTGGAAGAGGCCGCGAGCGAGCGAGGCGGGGCGGGAGTAGCAGACGGTGGGGATTCACGGACACCAACTAGTGTGGCGACTTCGGCGCTGGAGTCGAGTCCGAGGCTCGTGCGGCGCGTTAGCACGCGGAGGGGGGGCGAGCAGAGCCAGTTTCTGGAGTTGAACATGGACTTGCCGAGTCCGGAGTACAAAAGAAAGAAGGGCGGAAAAGGCGAAGGCGGGGGAGGGAAGAAGAACGAGGGTGGGGAGGAAAAGCAGGGCGGGGGGCTTGAGGAGGGCGGTAGTCAGGGGACGGAGCCGGGAGCAACGGGTGGGGCGCGAGAGCATTCAGTGGTTGGCGAACTTCCAGGCACAGAAGCGGCATTTAATCAAGAGGGAGATGGGGATGGTCACACGAAGGAGGAAACGGATGAGGCTGGGGATAGGCCAGCTTCCGACAAGCCTCACGGGTTGAGTACCGCAGGTACTCAGGGTCAGGGGGGTCAATATACGGAAGAGAATACGGAAGAACGGCCATCAGGCGAGGGCAGCGATTTGGCGCAGTCCGCGGCTAAAGAAGCTCAAGGTGTGGAGCCGAGAGGAACGGGAGACGCATCAGACGATTCAAGGCAACAAGAAGCGACCGTGGCACCAGTAGCGGAGGCAAGAGTTGGGTTAGAGGAACCCGGGGTTTCTGCAAAGCTGGAGGTAGGCAAAGTAGAGCCAAAGAGCGGCAATGAAAAATCAGAAAGGGAGCACCCAGAAGCGACTGGCGGGCTGGGACGGTCTGGGTTGAGTGTCGATTGCCAGTCCGAGGCAGCGGTTGGAGAAGGCGATCAGCAGACGGGCAGCAGACCTCCGGAAGCGGGGCCGGCAGGAGAGGCGGGCGAGGACGGGCCGCCTGGGAACAGTGCTCACCAGAAAACGGAGAGGGATGACGTAATGGAGCAGCTGGAAAGCCGCGTTCAGGACGTCACGGCCAATGAAGCGGAACGGATGGAGGGCGGAGGAGAGTTACCGAGGAAAGAGTCCGGTCAGAAGAGTCGACAGGAAAGGGGCTGAACGAAGAGACTAATCCGAGGGCGGTACCCCTCGACAGCCGGGTTCAGACTGGAGAAGGCAGAAGCAATCATGCGGGTGCTGAGCCCGGTGCCAGACGATGTGAAGCTGCGCCGGGAGGATGCAGACGTTGCGCAGCAGACTGTCGTGGCGAGGAAGATGCCAGCAGAAATAAGTGGCGGAGTGCTCGTTGCGGCACCGACTGGAGACCAAGAGGCCCAACCGACGGGCAAGGCTAAAGCATGGACTAACACGTTTGACATGTGGTGGGTTTGTACTGAACGTCCCCAGTTACTCTGATGGTTAATGGAAGGACGACTACGGATCTCGAATTCCGGCCGTTTTGACCATGGCAATGATGGACATGGTGTGACTCAAGTTCGCCTCGTTGGTGAGGTTGAGTCATCCAACATGCCATTCACCAATGTCATGCGGTACTCTATCGCTGCGATGGCAGCGCCTCGGCACTATCATCTCTTTCGCCTCATCTACGCATTGCATCATGCTAATCATTCCAACAACAACAAATCAGCTGGCACCCCCCTCATGCTTTGAGAGAGAGAGAAGTCGCGTTATGGCGGGCGGCATAGTGAGGTCTTTGGTTGCAACTTCTCTTCATGGGTGTCAAAGCAGAAGTTCCCCGAGCGCATGTGGCTTGCCTTGTGCTCTTGTATGACGTGCGGTGTGCACCTTGGCGGTGTGCCAAGCGGATCGGTGGGTCCATCATAAGCGGAATGCTTATACCTAGGTACAAAAAGTTGCATCAGCAACTTTCGGGTCCAGCTTATAGGGCTGGCCGCAGTCACTCGGCATTCGAGTCTACACACAATAGACTAGAAACTACAGCAACCTACAGCCGTCCGATCGAGTCAAACCCTAGTATCAACGGCTCACAACCGGCGCGTGCGCGTAGCTCCGATGAGCTACAGCAATGAGCCTCTACAGCGTGACACCAATCAAGCACAGACCGACATGAGCTCAGCATGGATCAATGGATGCACTTCGTCTCCGTGTTTCCACTCTCGAGCGTATGCAGACGCATATAGCTTGAAGAACTTGAAGCTGAGGATCGGTCATGCGAGAGTGCATGTTTGGTGCCTGATTCGCCAGCGCTGGTTTTGGAGTTGCAAAAGAAGCGGGTACTGTCTCTATTTGCTGATCATGGTCCTTGACTCCATGCCTTGAGCTCAAAACGCTGCCCGGCTCAAAAAGGGCTTTTTTGCGGCCCTAGTATATGCACAGTATACGTTCAGTTATTCCAACAACAATGAACGCGCCCGGCCACATCGGACCTTCGACGACACAAATTTTTGTCAGTGTCAACAGTGTGATGACTCTGCACCATTGGTATGATTTTTCCTTTCTCGCTGTTAGGCACGTACCTAGGCTTGTTTAGATTTGTCTGACAAGCAAATACTAGTATGATCGAAAACTGTGAGCGGTGCAATCCTCCAGCCTCCAGTGGGTATTATCGTAGGTACGTTTACGAACCGGCTACTGTAGTCCAACAACTGTACTACTGTAGTGTTTAACCAGTGGGTGTGGACCGTTACCGGTACCATTGGGGATACCCGGTGAGTCGTGACCACTCACCATTGGCTGTTAGGTACCAGTGATACCAGTAGGTAGTCTGGTAAATTGGTGGTATCATACGCTACCAGGTATGGGTAGTTTGGGTTTAGCCCCGTTTATAGTCAGGTCTGGTCGCAGGCTCGCAGCACGGTTGATCCGATGCCCGGGCTCTGGATTCCTGGATACAACTACGGGCATTCACCAAGGTTACGTGGTAGACGCACATTCCATCGGGGTTTGATCGGACGACTGGAATTGTGTGCGCTTCTCAGAGCCTTGCATGCACGACATCGGTGCATGCTACTGATGCCGCGTGTGGTGGTCAAGCTCGTTGCTCGACCGTCGATGCTCGCTTGACGTCATTGTCGGAAGCCCGTTGGTACCTAACCTATTTTACCGGTACTCCCAAAGATGACGTCACGAGTAGAGCCAAATTTGGAATCCATTATTGCCAGCTGTCAACGTGAATTGTTTGAAAGCGACCAGCGTAGTCCTTAAACTAGGTGCAAGGTCGCCGGGCAGTCAATCAATTCGGTGCCAGCGGTTGACACGTACTGGGCATTACACCGTCAACCGAGTCAAAAGGAGCCGTTGGATATGCGCTTTTGGTCATTGCAATCGTTGAAACGCTAGGCTTGGCCTAATACTGTTGACGTTACCGCTGCATAGTACAACCGGGTCATGAACGTGCATGAGGACTCTGGACTCTGGATCTGAAAAGGGGTCAAGCTATGGCTCATTGTCAGGAATTATCAGGACTTGAATCTGGGCGTAGAGGAAGGGGACGGTCAAATCGTTCAGGGCGAGGAAAGAGGAGCAGAGTTGTCGCTGCGCAGGCCCTTTTGAATGCTTGCTGACTGCAGGGCTTGCGGAATATTGAGCAGATTCTGGGCTTTAGGTGTTTCGGATGTGTTTGTCTGTACTTTCCGGAAGCTCTGCTATGGTGCTTGGAGGAGCAGTTTGTTGCAACGTCAGATGATTCTTGTGTACGTCAGGAAATCAATGTTCAAGGCCTTGGTATGACAATCTGGAGCCAATGTGGTGTGTGTGACGAGGATTCTGTCCTACCACAACAGTGATAAAGCAGATAGAGGAGATCGAAGCGATAGTCACACGAAGGACTGAAAGGAAGCTGGGTTTCTCTAGGAGCATGAGAAAAGCCGCTGAGGGCCAAGAGCGGTAGCTGTTGTGTTCACATCGGCTATAGAGATGCCGAACAAGCTCTTTACAGGGTTTGCTGCCCTGTTTTGTTTTTGTTTCTTCCTGCTAGGATCGATCATTCAAAGAAGTTCGCTCTTTGTTCTCGATGTGGAGAATAAGGCAACAGTCCAGGCGGCAGAACGGGAGTTAACAGAGCGGACATGGGATGTGCAAGAAGGCACAACAGGGGTTGTGGCTCGGAGAGCCTTGCTAGACAGGCTTATGCTTGAAGAAGAAGTGCCTGAAGATGATGAAGAAGACAAAGGTAAAGCTGTCTGCATTGCACCTTTTCTGACTGGATGTTCAAGTCAGCACCTTCGGCATGTCGCTCTTGCACTGTGGTTGCATCCTTTTCCCATTGAGTTGCTGAATGGTAGAGATCCAACTTTGGGGCTGGGATCTGTGCGAGCTCAAAGTCTCATTGTTTTGAAGTAGATGGAGCTCGCAGATTAAGGAACTCAAGATGGTGATGCACCACTTGAGGGGTGATATGTAAGCAGGACTCTCCTGCTGATGAGGATGTAGGATCCTGAGCCTTTTGGTGATGCACTTCCAAATTTCCTGGTGACCTGGTGACCAATCAGCTCTCTGGTTTTGCAACCATTATTTTCAACAGTTGACTCAAGTGTCGCGCCAGAATGCAAGGTCCGGGTCTTTGAAGAGTTGAATGTCTGAGATGGATTTGTTGGATCAACATCATTGGACATCACCGACATTCTATCTTTGAAACACTTCCAAGTAGGGACCTCTGCATTCAGCAAGCGGCAGTCTGCTGCCCTTTTGGTCAATAGAGGGGACTGCCCCAGAGCTACTTCATCAAGCAGTTGATGTGACTTGGTGATCGTAGCCAGAGGCTTACTTGGTTACATGCATGCCAGAATGAGCGTATCCGGTTGATTGATGGGACAACTGCTAGCTTTTCGTCAAAATGTAGATGTAGGTCAGAGTGATGCGGCACTGGATTGACCTAGTGTCACCTACTTGCACGCAGTACCCAGCGTGTTGCGAGAGAGCCCCGAAGGCCGCCTGAAAGTTTTCGTGTATGACCTGCCGTCCAAGTACAACACCAAGCTGCTAGAAAAAGACAGCCGGTGTCTAAACCACATGTTCGCTGCTGAAATTTTTGTACATAGAAACCTATTGAACAGGTAAGCAAGCCCCTTCCCTTCATTCATGCTGCTTCATCGTTGTAGTAGCTATTCTCAGCTTAAGCCCTGTGGATTAAGACTGAGCATGGAAACACTCTGAAGAATATATCGAGTTCACTGCTCCCCCGATTAGGTCCATCAGAGCGCGTGCTGAAGTCTTTGGCAATGTCTGGATCAATTTACCTCAGAAACTAGTCAATGAAACACCAGAAGTTTTGAGACACACCCCCCTTCAAGAACGCCTTTGCCCTACCTTGCTAGGATACTGATATGAACGTCTCTTCTGTGGCACTTGCCCTCCTCTCTTTGCATATACCTGGGGTCTCTTAAATGTGGTGCTTCTCCTTGGACAGCTCCATCCGGACAATGGACCCCTCCGAGGCCGACTGGTTCTACACCCCCGTTTACACAACCTGTGACCTGACGCCCAATGGGCTGCCCCTGCCCTTCAAAGCTCCTCAGCTGATGCGGAGTGCGATTCGTTGGGTCGCGGAGCACTACCCCTACTGGAATAGGTCCGAAGGGGCAGACCACTTCTTCACGGTGCCCCACGATTTTGGCGCTTGCTTCCATTACCAGGTAAGGGGCCTTGTTTTAGTCAAGACATTCCTTCTGTAGATGGGTTTACCGGAAATGGGCCACGATTGCTGCAGGAAAGCCACAGCTCTTTGTGCATTTGCCTCAGTGATCCGTGCTGTCATCAAGAAGAAGAAGGCCCATAATTTTCCTGGGGCTGCTATGTGGCATGAGCCAGTGCCTGGTTCTGCTGAGTAGCCTTCATCAGAAGATTGAAGGTTTTATTGTTCGAGCAAGGCATTTGCCTTCTCGGATCACTCATACATATAAGATGCAGTTGTTTTGTACATTGGATCCCGATGCACATAAAGTGACTTGCAGGTTCAAACGAGACGCCCAATGTGGGGCTTAACTTCTGCAATAGGAGCCAAAATTTGAGGACGAACTCTGCAGAACGCATGGTTGACATGACTTACCATGTCAGGCTCATAAACACAATCACTTCAAGATTCACTTGAGGGGCAGCGCCCTGTGGGACCATCTTTTTCTTCCCTGCTTTTGCTGAGTGAGGAACATCTGAGGCGTGGCAAATGTGTGATTTTCTTTGGTCATTTGTGCAGGAAGAAGAGGCGATCAAGCGGCGGATCCTGCCAGTTCTGCAGCGGGCCACGCTGGTGCAGACTTTTGGGCAGAACAACCACGTCTGCCTCAAGGAGGGCTCCATTGTTGTACCCCCCTACGCTCCCCCCCAAAAGATGCGCTCGCGGTTCATCCCCCCCGACACACCCCGAAGCATCTTTGTGTACTTCCGCGGCATGTTTTATGACATCAGCAATGATCCGGAGGGGGGCTACTATGCTAGGTAAGATGGCAGTTGCCACATGCTGTTTTTGTGTTGCTTTGGTACCTCTTCCTGCATGCATTGCCTTCTTGGAACAACAAATGCAGGTCCTGTGTCATTAGTCGCCTTAAGGATAGCCTTTGATCCCAAATTCCATATCCAGGGCTTCGATAGTTGGGGCTGTCACTTCCTCTAAAGTTCATAGTGTTTGGCACTGGAAATTCTGCATGATCAGTTATGTTTAATGCAAGTTGAGCCAAGCTACCTCGTTGTCATCATGCACGCTATGATATTGCCACCCATGCTTTCTGCATCTTCGCTGAGGTATGCTCTAAACCTCAAAAATCGTGCAGCTAGTAGGAAACCTAGTTCCCCTGTATGACCTTCGCGTAGAATGACCTGCACAATCGATTGTTGGATTTCTTGATGTGCACTCAACCTGCTATGAAGCTTGCTTGGCACATTTTACCAGCTCGTTCCGGCTCCTCCCTCTGCTGCTCTGAACCAATACCTTTCAAAACGTCCTCGCTCTTTAGCCCCAGCCCTTCACACCACTCTCGTGCCTGCAGCTCGCTTACAGCATCTTCCTAGACTTCTTTCCTTTTGTTTAGGCTCACGATTGTTTCTTATGTTTCAGGGGGGCCCGCGCGGCCATTTGGGAGAACTTCAAGGACAACCCCCTATTCGACCTCTCGAGCGACCACCCGAGCACCTACTACGAGGACATGCAGCGGGCCGTGTTCTGCCTCTGCCCCCTGGGATGGGCTCCGTGGAGCCCCCGCATCGTGGAGAGCGTCATCTTCGGCTGCATACCCGTAATCATCGGCGATGACATCGTGCTGCCCTTCTCAGACGCCATCAGGTGAGATGGGCGCATATATGCCGTCTGTTGCCGCTTTTGTTCCTTATTCAAGAGGTTACTCGATGTCCACTCAATTTTGTCACTCCTTTCAGTCACATCTTTACTTCATCACGCTGTCAGGACTTAGCAGATGCGGGGGCATCAATGTGAACAGGCGTTCTGAGGCGTTTGTGGTTGCCCCGGTGTTCTCCAAGCAGAAAGAGCCATGCATACTAACCTCAAGCTGGTTTGCAGATGGGACGAGATCTCTGTTTACGTCGCCGAGAAGGACGTCCAGAACTTGGACACCATTCTGACGGCCATCAAGCCAGAGGAGATCATGGCCATGCAGCGCAAGATGTGGAAGCCGGAGGTGCGGACGGCTATGCTCTTCCCTCAGCCTGCGGAACCGGGGGACAGCTTCCACCAGATTCTCAACGGCTTGGCCCGGAAACTGCCCCACAAACCGGAGGTGTTCGTGAAACCGGGGGAGCATCCGATTGACTGGACTGCGGGGCCCCAACAAGACCAGGATGAGTGGCGGGGGGATGATGAGAACTAGCACTCTCTTACTGACTGCAGCATCAGTAAGGACGTTTTGCACCGCCCGGGCTCGCATGGATTTTGTATGCCCGCATAGTGTGTTGATGTACAGCTAGGAAGGGGGATCATGGTACCTACTATTTATCGTACTTCTGAGCTCGCTATCAAGCATTAGCGCAACCGGTGGGCGTCACAGCTGCCTGATGTATCTACAATGAGTCGCATGGCTTCTGTCGATGCATCAGGCAGCATTCGCAGGTACCCATTAGAAACATTCATCTAGACACTGAGTAGTCAGTTTGTCTATAAGCGAGAGGGATTGAAAACAATAATGTTCCAAAGAGTTGGAAGGCAGTGATTGCAAATAACAATGCAGTGAGGCCGTTCCTCTGGTTTTGATGCTTTTGCTCGCCCCGGTCACCAGCTGGTCAATCGACTGGGTTTGCTGCCACCTGTTTTCGTGTACAGACACGACATTATATTACACCTAGTAAATTTCTGACCTAGCTCGGCGGTAAGTCAGCATAAATAAGGTGCACCTGCTGCATATGTAACCATGCCATACAAATTACAATTGATCGATCAGCTAGCTCTGTACATCGTTCAAACATGGTCAATCAAATCTTGCGCTTGCAAATCACTAGGTCCCATGGCAGCACCTCATTTATAGTAGTCAAGATCAGCCATGCAGTCGAGCCGCATATCGAGTCATGAGCTACGACGACAACTGAGCGACATCATTCCACGGAACGGCTTTATAATCCTACCCGCCGGCATATGCCGCGAGAACAGCTTGCTCGCGCTTCGCATGCATTTCATGCACCACATACACCGTCAATCGATCCTACAATATGCCATTCATTGGACGTCCTTCTGAGTCCGTGCCAAGTCAGGCTTCGATATCAGAAGTTTTGACGTTTCCTCGCAAATTACAAGTCTCCGAGTCACTTATTTTGCGCTTTTGAGCCATTCGACGACTCTATGAGATTCTCATGGTGAGTTGGACATATCTGGCGCTGAGATAGAGTATTACCAAAAATGCAATCGTGTGTATCAATTTGGATCAATGCAAAGCCTCTCAATGGGCGGCCAATGTGCAACATATGCCGATGAGAGACTGGCGCCACTATATCAGGACTCAAATGCCATGAGACATGCGGGGTGCAAGGTACAATACTTTCGACCCTTGTCCAGGAGCCTGCTCGGAGCTACCGCGGCCGCCCCGTCGAGCTGATGCTAACAGGCTTGTTCCCGCATGCACAGATTCACTGCAAAAGATTCGGCTTTTCAATGCATTGACACAGCTTGACTTCAAGATGACGGTCAGCGCACCCGACATTGCCGGCACGGTGACACAGAGCGATCAATGACTGAACCTTATTTCCCAAGCATAGTCCTGAATCTTAATCTCATCAAAATGCATGCGACCGTAAATCAGAGAAACACATCCATCCGCAGAAAAGTCGAGCGGGGTCCTTCAAGATGCTATCGAACCGTAATATGCCCTGCAGATCGGGTCAAACAACACCAGCGCTTCGACCGACTTTGACCAGAGAAACAGCAGAGACGAAGCTCAGAAACAATCTAAGACTAGACCAAGCCAACGCAAGGCGCTGCTTTGGTCGTCTTCTTCCACAGAAAAGCTCGAAGCGCCTCTCCTAGTCCCTCCTGGCGATTCACCCCTCCTCTCGACCGAAGTACGCTTTTCACTGGCTCCTCAAGCAAAGGCTACAGTACCTCCCCCTCAGCCGCGGCGCAAATCGACCGCCCACCTCATTTTGCCCCACAACCATGACGCAACTCCGATCTGCGCGCGCCCTGGTTGGCGCCCTCGTGGCGCTCCTTTTCGCGGCCGCGGCCGCGCAGCAGGCGGGGCCCTACGACCCCACCCAGACGGGGGGGTCGCTGTATGCGGACTACTCGCCGGCCATCAAAAGCGACGCCGGCTTCGTGTCGCAGCTCATCACCACGACAGCGCCCCCCCCCGGGCAGGGGGGCTACAACCCCGCGTCTGGGAGCTATGCCAATCTGCTGGACTCGCACACCTTTACTGCGGTGCAGTGAGTATCCGCTGATCTGGTCACCGTTTGTGCGGGTTACAGCCGTTTTTAAACAAGGCCGGGAGCGCTCCGTTGGTTCCCTCGGTCCCGTCTTGTTTGTGCTTTTCACATTTTTCAGTAGCGAATAAGCAACGAAGTTTGAGAAAGCAACCTGAAGAATGCTAGACCTTGCAAAGAGCTCCATTATCTCGAAAGAATTGCCCTTCTGTGTGACCAATCTGCATCTGCAAGCCGACCTGTCCATCAATCCTCCGAAAGATATCGCGTCTAAGTCTGTATCCCTCTCGTCCAGGGGCATGGGGGTTTCGACCGCTTACTTCAACCTTAAGCCCTGTGGGCTGGTCCCCCCCCACTACCACCCCAGGTAAGCTTCACTTCTTATCTCTTACTTTTGCCCAGGGCGGGTCAAGCACGTGCATGCCTAAGGATTTTCTGTCGCTTCTCTCTCGAAGCATGGCATCGTTCCAGGACAAGGGATTGATGCATTCGAAAGGGGTGGGGGTTTGATCTGCTTTTTGCTAAACAAGAAGGGGCTTTGCTGCGTTGCATCAAGAGCATACCCTCCCCCTTCAGAAGGATTCAAGTGAACCAGATTACGTCTGTCTTCTTGTGAATGCTGCTCGTGAGAAAATTACCCTCATGCAGCAGAAACAAACTTGTCGAGTCTGCAAAGGATGCGGCGCCTCAGCTTTTGGAAACCAAGCAGAGCCGTCAGCATCTAAAAACTGACGTGCGAAATGGGTTTTGTTATTCTCCAGAGCTGCTGAGGTGGCGATCGTCACCTCGGGCGTAGTTCTCTTTATCTTCTTCGACTCGGAAGGTAAGCAGTTACTCACTTCGTACATAATCCCTGCCACTTCCATACTGGGGTCTCCGCGCTTGCTTTCCGGAGCCTACGCATTCGCTAATCCTGCCGGTCTGAATCAATTGCATGCGCGAAGTGCGCAGTCTCGACCGTTCCGCAACATCACCACACGGGGCATCATTTCGGTGGCCGACAGTCCGTGCGTTTTGGTCAATCAGACAGTGAAAGAAGTACCGGCTGCTGATTTTCTGGGTGCTGGGAGAAGACGTTTTGCTGGCAAGAAAAGCCGCCGTGGTCGACGCTTGCAGCGAAGAACATCATCTTACTTTTCAAGGAGCGCCCAACACTTGGTCTGACGGACGGAAGACCCGTTGGCATGAACTTTTTTTGCCCAGCTGCTGAGTCGTTTGATCGAAGAGAAGAAGTCATACTTTTGCTGCTCAAGCATACTTTACGCCTCTCCGACTCCGCCTGCCCTCTTTCAGCCGGTACAATTCTTATCTTTCCAAATCGTCATTGCGTCTTCTCACATTTTTTTTGAGGATAGACTCACAATCCAAAAGCAAGGGAGGCGAAAAGAAATAATTGTTTACTCAAGCAGGCAACACGCTCTCCATGAACGGTCACTGCGTCTGTTGAATTCTCTCGATCTGATTGAGATAAACCTCAGAGGCAAAGCTAATCGATTGTTTACTTGCGCAGGCAACACGCACTACATGAACGTTCCTCAGGGCAGCCAGGTCCTGCTCCCCCCGTCGCTGCCCCACATCTACCAGGAATACGCCAACGCGCCGGCGACAATCATCTCGGCCTTCTCGGAGGAGAGCCCGGGAACAGTCGTAAGTATTCCGAGACAGTTGTTTTTGTTCATCATCGTCGCTTTGTCGCGCACAGCTGTGGTTTCGTCCTGGCTCAAAAGACGTACAGCTGTTTGCGTCGAACTTGCCATCGGTGTTGAAGCTCTCCGAGCATGATTCTTGATCTCCTTGTCGTCGATCGGAAGGTCCAATATCAGAAACCTAGCTTGGCACATTTGAAACCCGATGGCCGGTTTGACGCAAAGAACTGTAGTTGGTTTATAAACCCTCGATTCTGGGTTCCATAACCAGATACTTTTGCCACTCCAAGGGAGTTCCCAGACTTCGTATTCCGAAAATGCTGCAATGCTTGTGAAAGAAAAGCGCTTGCAGAAAGAAAGTTCCTTATGGGCTCTCCATTTTCTCTAATTCAAGCAGTGCATCTCCTGACGCTGACGATTCTCATCAAACGGTTTTCATTTACACGCAGTTCCTGGCGCGCGCGCTGTTCGACTTCCCCGAGGGATCGTGCGCTCCGCCATGGGCCTGTTCAACCCGGGGGCGACCGCCAGTCTCAACGGCAGCATCCCCGCGGGCTTCACCACCGTTTCCCCCGACGCGTGCACGTCCACCGGGGCAGGCCACCTGCGCTAGAGTGCTAGGTTCCTTTACCAGTTTTGCACCCTGTAAGAAGAGCCCGAGCATCTCCAACGAACAACTACAGGCAGACGGAATGGCAGCTGTATTTTGTGTACTGACGTGCGAACCTCGTAAAGTTTCACGGCCTGATTGTACATCGTCTGTGCCTCGGCCGACACAGACGGCACCTGACTTGAATGTTTTCCTGTGACGGCACGTCATTGGCCCTTTGTGTACATGCATGACTGCAAAGACTGGCCTTCAAGAGGCGACCTGCTGCGTTCAGAATTTCGCAAGCTCGTTTCCAGCGTGTTTGAACTCCGTTTAAATGCAGCGTGTCCAACGGTGTCAGTGCCGACGGATCCATGTACTTTTGTCTGTCCAGCAAATATGGAGAGATTACATACCCTGTTATGCAGTTTCAGATATAGTGTCTTCATGAGCCTATATCACTGTAATTTTCTAACTGGCTCTTGATATAAAAAAAGATTCGTGCAAGGGCGCGTCTTTCGCCTAGTATGTTATCCGCATTTGCGTTGCTCTTGAGGAAAGCTAGCCTTAGTGACCCGAGATAAACGCGACCGTCAGATGAAGATCGGCCGGCAGCCACTTTCGACCTTTTACACTTGTGCGAGATCCGATCCGTTTAGTATGTAGTATTCCTTGTGCGCCAAGCTTGTCGGATCTCTGCGAATTCAGTGAGGTCGTATATGAAATAATTAACGCAACCATCAGAACTATCTAACATGCGCAAAGCGGAATGCTATCGATCCTCAGCCGCCGGCCGGCCCGAACGTGGATGAACCATGTATGCCAGCACATGTGAGAGATGCATTCCGACTAGGCCGACCTTGTCATTGCAAGCAATGAGTCCATAGAGATGGGCGCTGCAGATCCACAGGCATGCGCCAATACATTCAATTTATACATTCTGAATCTCACTGACGGTGAGGTCTGGATCCGCGGAGAGGACCATGACGCAACTACACACAAGCTAGCGCGGCGTTCCTTGATCGATCTACTCGGCTAGAAAAGGTACAAGGTATATCACAGGTGACGACGTTTTGTCAGTCATATGTCCAAAAGGGACAGCAAAGCGTCTGCATAGCGGACCAGGCTCAATATTGGATGACATGGTATTGAAGACGTAATATACACGTTTCTGTCCAGGTACAATCTGTGTGAAGCGAGCTCTTTCCAGCCCGTCGCCTCAGGCTTATCTAATTATTGCCACCTGCAAGACGACCACCGGGCTCGGGTTAAAGCAAAGAGTATAACAGCATGAGCAGAAAGAAAGTCGCATCTATTCCTACCAACGTTGAGAAGGGAACCTAAGAAAAGTGCGAAGCAATCACGTGCAATCGGCGCAGGCTCTCACCAATAAAATCCTAACTCCTGGGGGGAGACCAAAAAATCGCACACATTAAGTTGGCTGATGCAGAAACACTACGACCGTCTTCCACCATTGCTTCTCACTCCAGATGCGCGTGCGCGCACCCACACGTAGCTCATCTGATCGCAAAACACGAATAGATTCACTGAATCAAAAACCATTGTCTCACCTTGTAGCGACCTGAGTATTTGCAGGAGGCGCAGGAACAGGTTGATGATGTCCAGGTACAGCCCCACGCTGGCCCACACGTACTCGTCGTAGCTGTAGCGCTTGATCAGGTTATCCGTATCGTACACTATGTATAGACTGAACAGGAGGGCGCCCACCAGAGAGTAGATGAAGCTGCACAAACAGAAGCCGGAACGGTTTCGCAAACTCGTTTTTTGAGACCATTCCGAGGCTGTTGTGCTCAATGTAATGCGGGTGAGCGCTGCAGATTTCGCTACAGATTCTTGAGATGCTGAGATAGTGATTGTCGCAAGAACAACTGCGTGGATGAATCCCAAGAAAGCGATAGATACAGGTAACGGCTGGTTCGAGTCAGATGAAGCCCCGTGATCAGAAGCGACGGGAAGGAAAGTGTCGAACTTGCGAGTCCTACTCTTGCTTCAGCAATTAATTAACCTCCTCCTGATTGTTCAGAAACTGCATCGATGTGGCCTTTCGAATCAATAAACCAAACTATTCAGGGGTAAACTAATCCTTCAGTGCTGGGGATGAGAGGAGTGAACCCACAAATGAACTGGCAGCTAAATCCAGGTGCGAATAGTGACTTACTAGCCGATTGGGCCTGGGGCGAAGAAGAACTGGATGAAGCCCCACATGATGAGGACCATGAGGCTGGAGAAGAGCATGGGGCCGAGGTAGCTGCAGACAGTTGTAAGCACAGCGGTTGAGTTTTGGAGAAGAGCATGGGCTGAAAGAAGCGGACAAGCAGTCACAAAACTCAACGGCTTCGTTTGTGACCTGGCGAGAAAAGATACTGCCAGTGGGAAAGATGTAGAGAGTGCGGGAGTAGGTGCAAACAGTTGGTCTTTGAAAGACCATTCCATTGTTTCGTGAACAAGCCTTCGCATTTGCACACACCCGTTCTTGGAGAAGAAAGATACATCCGGAAAACATTCAGAGGGGAGAATCTGCTACCAAAAGGACGTCCTGTGAGGGACTGGAGTTACGGACAAAAACAAACATATTTGCTCACTGGTCAGCTGCTTCCAGTAACGGAAAAGGATCGGGAACCTGTTCTTTCTAAAAAGACTGTCTTCACGAACCTGGCAGATGCAAACCGTGAATCAAAGCATCTGTGTCACTGCGCAGCAACGACTTTTTGACAGATAGTGCCGCAGATGAAGGCAGGCTTGTCCGAAAGCCCGCAGCAAGTCTGATGGAGTAGAGTAAGGGCGCGGCAGTGAAAGCCTACCTGAAATCTGCACCCTTCTTCACGGCGTAGAAGGTGTAGGCTGTCAGGCCCACAACCACTGCTCCTGTCAGGAGGAGGGCCTCCAGCACAAGCGCCCCCGAGTAAAAGGTGCAGGTAGTGCCGACCATCAGGCTCAGTGAGAACGTCTGGCAGGGAGTGAAAATTTGTCAGGTAAAAGAATTTTCGAAGAAACCAGGAAGAGGAAGTCGTCGGCAAAACACGTGTGCTAGAAGATGGGCATCTCAACAGAGAGACAACCACTGGGTGCACAAAAAATCCTCATACACAAGTCAGACACCAGTGGAGATCGTAACAGTGATAGGATCAGTGGCGCAATTACCATTGCATTGAAGACCTCGATGTTTATGGAGCACGTTTACCCGCCCTTCTGCTTTTGAACAGGACTCCAAGTTCCCACGCCCATTTTGTCTTCGACAAACATGCACCAGGGTTTCCTCTTTCATTTTTCACACTTTTCAGCAGGGTAAAAGGACAGCTTTCCTTACCCAGAGTGCCAAGATGCCCAAGTTATGGGGATGTCGGTGGCGGTAGATGTACAAAGGAATCATGGCTGTACACAAGATGGAACTCAGTAAGTCCACTTTCTACAATGCCTCCAAAGCGAAGTAATGATCTGGGCAAGGGATTAAAGACCTGTACTTTTACAAGCCCTCAACAGCAGCTCTTGCAACATCAGACAGAATCAAGGACATGGCAACTGGCTGCTGTCGTGGTAGAGTCAACCTTGCACATTTCTTGGGTAAGAAAATGCTTGGAGCGCTCACTGATGAAGGGCAGCAGAAGGGAAACCCAGATGAAGGGTTGGGACGTCATAACAAAGCCCCGCACGGGCGCATTCAAGATGATGACTGCGACCACCACAGATGTGAACAAGAGCTGGGCCGACAGGATGCCGTACACCTTTCTGATGAAGCCCCATCGCATCTCATTGTCCTGCGAGTCAGAGGTAGCAGCCGTCAGGAACCATTTCAGCATTGTATTTTTGACACTTGTATCAGTGCAAGTCCAACCTCATCTTGCTGTCCTGCGGGTGAACTAATTCAGCTTTATGAACAAGGTCTGACCCGCTGTCTTGCACTATCGCAAAATGGCAACTCAGTTAGAGGGAAGAAGTACAATAAGCATACACTTGCACAAGTGGACATTTAAGATTGAGAATACGGAGAGCTGAGGATTCTGTCAACGAGCAGGTAAGGGGCACAAAGTGACACTGTGCGAAATTCACATGGCACTCACACAATCAAACACTGATTGTGTCGTGTAAGGGGTGCTTCTTCCAGAAGTCTCTAAAGACGTGAAAGTCTTATCTTACGACCAGAGTGTAACATGCCAGCAAAGCTACTTCTGGATCCATACCCTGGGTCGTGATGAGAACTTGATGAGGCCTGCTTAGAACTTCCTGAGTACTTCACTGCTAAGCTAGAAGTGATGTAATTGCTTGCACGAGACCTTATCCTTTCCTCCATGCATGATGCAACAGATGTTGCCCTTTGAACCCCTGCTATGTTTTGAAAAAACAAGCCCGTGCCCTGAACGCATACCTGTTTCATGCAAACTTCATAGACGAATTTCAAGTAACTTTGAGAGATGCTCAAGCTAAGGCATACCTCAATGCCAGGATACAGCATGTCTCCATTCTCCAAATCCACAAACGTCGAGTCCTCCTTGACAGACGTTCCCATCTTCTCATAGCTCGTTGCCGCCATGGTGTTCAACCTCGCGGCGTCCCCGTGCAAGCGAAGCAAGAAGCGAAAGAAGTCAAATACAAGCTGAAACCGTAAGGAACCCAGGCACCCAGAATCTCCACCTCAAACAATGATCTGTGCCGATGCTGGCGCCCTAGTTCAACTAAAGTGCTCTGAAGCGAAGGTGAAGGAATGTCCCATGCAAGATGCAGGCGGCCAGGGCGGACTCATATTTCGGTTATGTTCACACCTTTGGAGTCGCTGGAGCGGCGCTGCGAACTCGGTGGAAACAAGCGTTTGTGAGAACAGGCACCTTGCAGCACTCCCCCAATGCCGCCCCCCGGTACTCTTTTGAAAGTGGGCCAAAAAGCTCCGAGGATACCCGGGCCGGGGGCCCTGGCAGTCTTTTGAGCAACCACAAATACTTCACAAGGTGCTCGGGTCTCGTCTCCCAAGGGGCAGGACGATCGCCCCGGTGCAAAAAGCTGCTGCTCCTTTCATCTCAAGAAGAAAGCTGGAAACCTCATTGCAAACCCTAATCGAATCAGCTCAATATGAAGGCGTTCGGCATTCGTGCCTTGATGTCAATGCTCATATGAAGCTAGAAAAACAGACACCGCGCCAATACTGTAAGGAGAGAGAAGAGTCTTGATCACAAGATTGGTTTGATTCAGCCTGCTACGTGCATCGTGACAACTCTTTGATGTATTGAGCGTTGGAAGATCTTCTTTGACACTTCGTCGATACTGGAAGAGGCTTCTTTGCAGTTGAACTTTCGCATCCTTGCCAGCTATAATCTAGTTTCAGGAGGTGCTGCAAAAGACTGTGGAGTATCAAGTGGTCAGCTTGGCTTGCGTTGAGGCTTAACATCATCTGTGATTGCTCGTCAGCTTTTCAAGCTCACGACAGCGCAGCTCAGGAATCAGTATAATATCAGTCAAGGCACAAACGTGCTTGTATGGATTAAAAGGCTTGAGGCAGAACTTCGTCTTGCTTTGCCACAAATCTGCAATCAATCATAGCATACCTCCTAGTCGAGTTTGATAGGTCTTTGGTGTCAGCAGGAAAGCACAGCAACCCCCTGCACTGCTTGGCACGTTCTGGAGCTCCTTGCCAATGGCAACAAGGCGTCCACAGCCTGGTGCAAACGTAGCTAAGCTCGTGCAGGTGAGTACAATGAGGTCATTCGACTTCCATGCGAAATCCTGTAACACAATGGCAGTTGTGCTGATAGATGTTGTTTCTTTGAAAAAAGCTTGAGCTGCAGCTCCTTTGAATCTGAAAGAATGGGCTCATGTTAGATCAGAGTTCCTGAATGGGACATGGGAGCTGTCCCACTGTACCCTGGCTTGCAAAGCCCAACCTATATTCTCTCTTTGGCTGGTGCAGCGAAATGACTACTATGCAGCACAAGAAGCGCACGCTGAAGAGTAAGCTGTTGATGCACCAAAGTGTGTGCAAGCTTGACATGCCCTGTGAGCTCCTTGCGCGGTGCCAAAATGCTTTCTTTAAAACATACTGTAAATCTTGTGTTCGGGCTTGATTGTATACAAGAGCAGCTGTCTGTGCATCTCTAGCTGGAAGTCCGGGCTTGCATCAGGTTCTCTGGGCATGTTGCATTGCATCAATGTCATCATGTTCTTCTGTTGAAACTGAGGCATGAACCACCGTGCAGCTTATCGAAGGCCAACCAAGTAGCCGGATGGCACGAAAGAAAATTCAAGGTTGGAACACAGGTATTGGGCCATTCTTTGTGGATATTCATGTGGGCCTGAAAGTCATCCAATGCTAGGAACACAGTTCCGTCTGTATAATTTGAAGCCAAGTGAGTTTGTCAGCTGTTGAAAAGTTGGTTTCAAGCAAGCACGCACGGTATCTCAAAAACACCTTGGAGCCACCTGATTATAAACCTTTTGTTGGGGTCTATCTGCACAAGACTATCTCATGTTCTTCTGCTGCACCTAGTTTACTGACTTGTCTTGACACCAGACCCTAAGCATTTCTTTCTTTGGTTGTCAGACCTCAGCTCACTCGAAGGACAACGATTTGTCAGAAAACGCCACAAATGAGTGAGTGCCTTACAATCAAGCTTCTCTAAGGCAACTGATCCTTCAGTAGAGCCCCCCAACGATAGGAACGACGTATAAAAAAAAGATCTTATGACTCTTTCTTCTTCTCGACAATAGTTGATGAATCAAGAGCGAAGATTGAGTTGTTGTCCTCCTCGCTTCTGAAAAAAGATGTACTAGAAGAGCCAGATTCTCAGCGCTGCTGTCTTTGAGTGATGTTTAGCTCACAGCGAACGAGTCTCCAGAAGGCTCCGTGGCCTGGTTACGAGGGGTGAATCTTAAATGATGCGATGACGCTTTTCGACCAGAATCGCAATGGAGCTGAGGTCCGCGGATAAGCAAGTGAAGATGCAGCGGCGCGCGAGGCTGCTCGAGCTTTTCAGAAGAGAAGCGCTACAGTGAGCGTTCCATCTGGCCATCCCGTTCATAGCTCACTTGGTTCAAAAACCTGGAACAAAAACCCAACGAACTATTGGCGTCTCATACTAACACTTCAACGATTCCGATTGGGCTTTCTGAGGGCGGGTTTTTCCACAAAAGACCACAGTTCTCCTGGTTGACTCAGCTGATCAAGGGGACACCTCTTGGCTGAAACATGGGGCAAGTTAACCTGTTTCTGGCACTAGCGTCGGCTGGGTTCCTTCAATTCTCGGGGTGCAATTCATACCAGACGAATTTCAATGGACCGATCGAAATGCAGCGGGATCGAGGTAATGCACAGAATGCTTGACCCTTCTCTTTAACCCACTTTGCACCGGGGATAGGGGTCCGTTTAATCCAGCTTCCGTTAACGTGTATTCTCAACCCTTCTCTGCAGATATGAAGCCGAGCTGAACGCGCGAGGCTTAGCGATTCTTAAGGACAGATTGTGAGAAGGCCTCAATTGTTGACAGGAAGCGCAGCCCTCGCTCTTCCACATTAGACGTGACTCGTCATCATCCTGTCATCATAGAAGGCCAGAAACGTTGGTGAAGAGGCAAGTAGGTGTGTCCAAGCCCTGCAGGCGCACACGCTTCTCGAGTCGGTCATGAAAGGCTCCAGTGCACCAATCAGGGTCGGAGATACTTCTTTTCAACCTAGATATCACCGTCTGATTGAGAAACAAAATGTCTATTGTTTTGAGAATATCGCTGCGTCCCGCGTATCCAAACGTCTCGCCATGCATGACGGGCTCTGCGTATGAGACAAGATGGATTCTGAATACGGGCAGTTTCTGCAGATCTGCACCGTACATCAAATTGGAGCGAATCCACATCGCGACTAGAACGGACTTGTGGATCCGTGTGCGCATTGACTGGCAATTGTGTAATCAAACTACATGGAAGCGTTTATACCAAGATCGTGCGCGCGCCGGTTCGACCTGTGGCAACAGGAGAATGTCTGATCGAAGCGCGTGCCTTTGCTGAATGCCCAGAAGTGACAACCGACCGAGGTGTATTAGCGTTATACCGTGACAATTGACCATGCCCTGCAAATATTGAGCTGGGCTTACAAAGCAGAAATAAAGCGCTCGGCACATTTGCCGCCTTGAAGCGTACTTTGGACATCGAAGCTTTGTGCATAGGATGTCTTCGAGCCCAATACGCATTAGCAAATGTCTCAATCCTCTCAACTTTCAAGTCTTGATACCATAGAGCTAGCCTACGCATCGAATTTTGGCCCTATCAGGTCCATGCTGAAGGAATTCTGCTCATGGTCTCGGCGGAATCCGAGGCCCTGCTGCGGCCTGTCCTACCGTAGGACCTACGGCCAAAGATGGCCCCAACAACGTCCCCGGTGCTGGTGCCGGTTCCACCGTCGCATAGCAAAGCCCCCCACACTGCTTAACAAACTTCCCATCATTACACAAGACGGAAGCCAGCGCAATCAGCACATCCCCCGAGGCGCAGGTGTTGAATAAAACACCCCCCTGAAGATTGGCAACGAAAGTTTGCCCTCGGATGATTCCGACCTGGTTAAGGGGGCAGCTGATCTGGCACGTGACGTCATATCTCTGGCAGATGACGGCAGGACCTAGGCCGAAGTTGGGGCACTTCCCGAGCAGCGGCAGCCCGGAACCGATGGGAACTTGGGCGGTGCAGGGGATCGCAATGCTTGATAAGAGAAAGATGGCCAACAGAGTCTGCAAAGATATGAGAAAGTTTCGGCCTTCCTTAGCCATGGCACTTTCTTCCTTCCCCTTTGATACCCTGCCCTCCCTTATGCATGTCAGCAATGAGCTGAGGAACCCTAACGAGCTGCTAGCTCTGGTTCCACATATATCGAGCTTCCGCAAACAGAACTTCATATGAGATTGTTTTCTTCTTATTCTTCTGTTTAACACTCTACGTTTTTCTTGCATAATTTTAAACGTGCTAAGAGCTGATCAGACAGGCTTGACGTTGTCGCCCAATCAGGTTATAAAGTTCGACAAATGTAAAACTTGTAAGCAGACCCCAAAACTCCTGAAAATTTGAAAAGACGATAGATCGTGTACTCACCCAACGGCCGCCGGTCCTGGAGGGGGCCATCAGTTGCACCGCGAAACTGACCAAAGCCTGCGGTGTAAAATGGAAAACTGCAGACGGAGAGGCGCTGGCTTGGAGAAATAGCTGAACAGCTGCTTGGGCTGTCCTGGTCGAGGCGGAATCAAAATATCGTCAGAAGGCTTGAGAGCACTTTCGTTGTGTGCCGTTTGCGCCCAGCTGCTGCTGCCCGATTCTCAACCTGAACTTTTTCAACCGCCGGGTGCTTGAAGGGGGCTTAAGGCTTTAACGCGCGGCGGCTTGTTGTCAGTCCCGTCATTTAAGATTGACAGGAATGGCGCCTCCTCTTCAGTCTGCACCCGCCAGTCGGCCGCCTCATGCACGTTGTAAGTGTAAGTTAGCCTTATAATTATAACGTATACTCTTGCAAAAGCGCCTTCTAGATCTGTAGCGCTCGTTCTTTCTAGGACTAATTAGTCAGCGTGAGTCTCGAGTCCTCGCCTGCAATGTGCACAGAGGAGGGCATTGGTGTGCCTCGGAATAGTCGACCAACACGAGCCTGCGCGCGCAATTCGGCCAGGACGAGATTGGCAACTGCGGATCGAACCCTTGCGGAAGTTCGGAATCTGCGAAGGGCTTGACAATCTGCACTTACATCGAAGTAAGGTCAACAGTGGCGACCTGGAACTACGATCCGAGCTTCTTGGTCGCTGGAAAAGGGCGCTACGTGCCTCCTTAAAGCGTCGACGCGGGGCGACCGGAGGCCCAATGAGCGTGACGTCACGTGTGACAATACACAACTCCGCACCCTTGATCAATCAGTTACTCCACCCTCAATTTCTAGGCTTCTCCAGGCCGTACTTACCCTGCGGACTGTCAAATAACTGTCAGGCCTTTTCCTGGCCCGGCCACAGACTTTATGCATCAGGAGGCGCCGTCTATTTTGACACAACGGGCATCATGCAACAGCCAGGCTCGTCCCTCGCCATCATTGGCCGGCGCAACCGAGATCGAGGACCTCTACCTCAGAAGAAACATGTAGGAGAATTAAACTGGCGGAAAGTGAGTACGGCCTCATGGCGCCCATCTCCAGAAAGGCTGGCGCAACCACAAAGTCTGCAGCTCAAACATTTCCCATGGCGGCCACGCATATCATCATCGGGCTGGAATTGTAATTAGAATACGAGCGCTCTCGACATACCTGGCATCAGTGTCACTGCATTCCGCCAAAACATGTAAAAACAGCCGTCCTTGGAATCGATATTCAGGAGTCACATATGGCTGACTCAGTGAGCTCTGCAGGCCCCGGCGCAGCCCGGCAAATGACTGCTGACTCCATGGTTTCAACCATACAGACGACTTATTCCTCGATTGGACGGTCACTCTTTGCAGGTCGATCAGTGCCTATCAATACTAGGTTTACGGCCTCATGACGCAAAATCATTCAGCGCGCACGTACCCAGAGCTTCCGACTGACGGTAATCAAAGTGTAATGATTCTGCGACATTAATGAGACCCCGAAGCAGCTTTCTGGTCGTTTCAGGCGAAGTTCTTGAGCTCTCGCCGAGAGTCAAAAGGAGATTTGGATTAGGTGGGCATTGCAGTTCATGCGCCCATAATGACTGGACTGATGCCACACTAGTTGTGCCCTTTTCCGGCCTTGCTGCAGCCTGGTCCTTTTCAAATGTGCACTGCAGCTGCACTAGTGTCCCATCAAAAATTGTGCGGACTTCGTTTCGTGATTCCATCAGACCTCGTCAACCGATGGATCGCAGACGAAACGTTGAGCATGGCGTTAGACTGGGCTGCGTCATGATAAGAGCAGAGCAACATCTGATATGCACGTCCCTGTTGGATTATGTTCTGGCCCCTGCAAGCTATAGATTATCGACACATTGTGGTTTCTGCCTGGAAGAAGGGCAGTTACCATTTGACGTCTCTCGCTATGGCCCGGCTGCGTCCATAGAAACACTGCAGTCTTCACTTATGGAAATACGCGCTACTCCGAAGTATAGCAACAAGTTACAAATTGAGTTTCAGCCGCTTCGAGCCAACTTGGGAGTCCCTGTGCTCCTGAAATCGCTTGAAAAGCGGATCGTTGGTGCCTATACTATAGTACAAAGTACGCTTCTGGTAGTACTCGTGCTCGCCGAAGACCTGAATGAGAAAATACGGTGAAGTAAGGGCCATATCCTAGTTGGAGCAACGTGGCAGAAGGCCGCAGAACTGAAAGGCAACTACTATGCGCAAACGCGCAAATGTCCACCATGAGACTCGCAGTCGGCTCGTCCTGCCTTACACTACAGACCTCTCCTTGAAGAGAAGGCTCGAACCAGAAGTATCTTCGCCTGGCATCCACAAACGATTCCTTCGAACTTGTTGAGAAATGCGCAACCGCTGCTTTCTGGAAAGGGATGGGGAGAAAGCGTCACACTTCAAGGTTGTCGATGATATCTTCCAGGAGGTGCGCTTTCCCGGCCGCCATGCCGTGACCCTCGTCTAGTTGCAGGTGCGTGATGTGGAGGTGGAAGTGGTAGTAGCTCGGCTGGTAGTGCACGTAGCACCGCAGCTCATTCGCCGAAGCGCCGTACTTTGACGTGATGGCTTGAGTTGCTTTCGCCCTGCGCGCAGAATCACGGGGTACTCTTTAACAACCGCCGGCCACTAATTGAGGGAAATGAAAGGCAGAGAACGTGTCTCTCAGAGTTACTGCGATGCAACAAGGTTGAAATCATCTGGATGTGGCAGCTTAAACTTACAAACAGCTGCCCCTTTTATGAGCGGCAGTCAGCAGACCTGCGCCTGGACTTCGAGAGCGCTAAACTATGACCTTGGCAGCTGGGACTCCCGCTGTAATGCGCTCATCAGTCCTGGTGCAATGAAAGCTTCATCAGACGGTCAAGAATTGTCCTCGATGAACGTGTGCGCTGATGGGCGCCGTTGATCGGAGGCCCGAGCTCGGGCGACGTGTACAGTTGAGATAAGAGGGCGAAGCTACCAGTGCCGACCACAATCCAGACTGCCTTCGCGTGCTTGACGTCGGCTACTCACTGCAGATTCTTGAGGAGGGGCAGGTGCGCTGGGGTGAGATCGCGCAGGGAGTGCAGGTCCCGCCGGTGGACGATTGCGACACAGTGCAGAGAGTCTACCTGCGAGACACACGCAAGCCAGAGTGTTATAAGAAAAGGAAGCTTTCCCCGTGTTGGTGCAGTTCCAAACCTACGAAATCATACATGAAGCTTCTGAAGCTCCACATTTGACCAGGACGTACGCTCAAAAGGCGACAGCAAGAGAAGACCGGCCGAACAACTTCGTAATCTGCATAAAATCATGAAATTTGGCAAGAAGGAAGCGGAAAAGCAGGGAAAGGTAGATTTCGGATGCCGTGGGGGAAAAGAGGAGCATGACCGCAGGTTCGCAGACTTGTTGACAATGACTGCGCATCTGGTCTTTGAGAAGCAGCACGGGGGCAAAAGGCTTCGTCACATGCATCCAAGGACCGCTCAGCATCATTTGGATAGCGTTTGCAATTGGAGTTCTTCCGTCATCTTAGCCCTCTCCCCGTTGACCCCAGCAAATGCGGGGCTTCAACGGGCTAGAGTCAACGATGATCTGGAGCGCTACGAAAGCAGCGTCTATATCCTCGCAGCTTACTTGTTTCTGGTCCCATTTGAGGTCGGGGTGGAGGGTGAACCCCAGCTGCGGGTCTGGGTCTTCATAAATGAGCCGCTCTGCTTCCGCCTTTTTCTCCAGGATATTATACACCCACTGTCAGTGACAAATAGACGCGTTGAAGAGGGCTTCCATGAAGCGAACAGCCCAGCGCAAACGCGATCTTTCAGAAAAGGCCGACTTACTCCAAGGCGGTCGGCCAGTTGATAATGCGGAAGAGGCTTTTTCCGTCTGAGGATCCAAGCAAACACTTGACAGCAAATCGATGGAAGCCTTTCCATACGAGACTGAAAAGCAGAACGAGTTATGCTCGGTGGGCTGGTCCGTTCGTGGATAACCGTTGGATTGTCGAACGATCTCAGGACTTACTTGAATCAGCCCAATCTTCGTTTCACCTTACAACGGAGCTTGTTTCTCACCTGCAGTCGTTCAGCCCCTTGAGACTCAATGTATGGCCGCGTGACCGCTGCATAGGCTGCAGCGGTTTCTTTCACGAGCACGGACTTTTGAGTGCTGTACTTGAGGATGTGCTTCTCAGTGGCTGCAAGGAGTCAACGGAAGGGCCCATGTTTGAAGGGACCCCTGAAGCTGCAAAACAAACGTTCCCTTTGCTTGTCTGTAAAGCGAAACATCCACCCATACTTGGATTGCGAATAGCGGAACAGAGATTGCTCACAATGTGGAGAGCAAGAATGAGAGAACATTGGATAAACTACAGAGATTTGAAAATCCGAGGATTGATCCCTCGAAGTCCTAGATGCAGTTGCGAAAACATGATGCACATCAATCCGCCCAAGAGAGTTCACTCTGAAAAAGGTCAGGGTGATGTCAAGAAGAAGGTTCCCTTGTTTCAGGGCATGTTGGTGAGTATACCTGGATATATGACGTTGACGTTGATTGCGGAGAGGTCTGCCTGGCTCGAAACGCCTAGATACTTGCAGTAGATGTCGTTCTGCACTCAAAACTCCTCTTCAGACCAATACCCTTTACTTTCCCCTGTTTCCAAAAAGTATCATTCATTCCTGAGATGACGAACATGTTCAGCATACAGAGACAGCTCCGTTGCATGTGCCTCAAAGTATGTAGTAAGGCAACGTACTCAACTCTGTATGGCTTACAGCCACCTGCTTTCTCATCACGTAGCCTGTACTGCAACGTCACACTCATAAATGTTTCTTCCTCTTTCCGGTGCAAATTTTGCCTCCATGGAGACTAAGGGCCAAACCGCCTCCTAATCAGCGGAAAGGAAAACTCACGTGCAGGGTGTTTGTGAGGAGGGTGTTCCTGCTCAGCCAGCGGGGGAGCGCCTCCGCGTCAAAATGCTGCCGCTCCAGGGTGACGATAGCCTCACCTGGTTTACCAGCAAACCTGTACAGAGACTGACTTGTAAGCAACAGACACCAACGCATCATTGTTGGAAGAAAGTTGGTTGGGAGTATATTCTGGACGATGAAAAGCTGCTGTTTCATCAGACTGGGGCCCTCTTTGGTTAGCTGCTCTTCTGGTAGACCAAAGGGATGGGGTTCTTAGCCTTCCAGCAAATCATAGCCTTTGGATTCTGAAACCTTCGATACTATTTGTCCTCACAGCAATTCTGGACAGGTATGAATTCTGTGTTGACTCTAATACCCTGCTTACTGCAGGTTAAGGTGCTTGCTCGCCAGAAGGGGCACATATCGGGCATGCAGCCATCTACAGATACGGTCAGCATAACCTCCCATCAAGATCGTGTCCAACAATCTGACCTGAGCTGCTCTCCTGGGCCTTAGAGTTGAACTGATGGTGGTACATTGAAGCCAGGACAGGATTGGGATATCCACCGAACTCTAGTGCTCTCCGATGCACTGTCCAAACACTCATGTAATAGCTTCATGATGGAGGTGGTGGTATATCTGGAAAAATACAAGCTCAGTGGCCCCACATTGTTTCTGTTTTTGTTGTTCTCATGAGGCTGCTTAGCTGACTATCATGCTGTCCCTCTTGCGAGCCCCTTCCTCCGCAAGACAACAAAGTGCAGGGAACGAGTAAGCTCTAGAGCTCAGGGCTGAAGCTTTGGAGAATGGTGCATTGAGTGATCCAGCTCACCTTCCCAGGATTGTCACTGTCTTTGTGCGCGCCCCTTCTGACAGGACTCCGTCCACATGAAAGTCCTCAAACGAGGAGAGGGGCATCGTTTGCAGCTCTGCAGGCGCTACCCCATCGCCATCAGCAGACCCAGCGCCTGCCATGATGCTGATCGAATCCTCACGCCTTCAAGGTGTTGC